TTGTAACTCAAAGACTACCCATGCTGCAGAATTTTTGGTGAAAAATTTTGGCCTGGCAGTATTGCTGGAGCTTAATTTTGCGTTTCGGGAGGGCGGCCGACGTGGCAGGCTTCAGAGCATCATTGCCCACAGCCAATAAAACATCTATATTTCTGCTTATTAGATTGGCAGGTATTTAAGATCCCTCTGCTCCTCAAATCATCTTTTTTTTAAAGTATGTGTTGGAAGAAATGTCCATCTGGGTTCAGTTCCAAGCGGGGGAAAAGACCACTGGATTCACGGAAGTTGCTTGGAAAGATTGAGGTTGAGGTCCTGGGCAGAAAAAGGGAAGAGATGCTGAGACTGCCTGGGTTTTATGCCTTCTGTTGGGCTTTGGAATTTGAGCTTGTATTCGGTTGTCAGACTCCCACGGAGCCATGCAGGGCTAACTTTGTAGGTTGTCTGTGTCCCAGGCTTGGTTGAGCCTTGCCGGGTGATGATGTAATGAAAGGGGCTTTGGGCAATTCCTATTATGGCTCTGCCTGAAGGAGGTAGATCTTTGTTATGCAGAAGAGACTGGCCCAGGCCTTAACGGCCCATTGACAAAGGTGGGGTGTGTGTGAGTTTCTGCCTCCCTTTCTGGGGAAATATTCTGCCCTTTTTAATATTTCCTAAAATATCTCATTTTCCTAGGAGAGGGGTGGGTGCTAACTTCCTACATATGGAGGTGGTGGGGGTTTCACTTAGGAGCTCTTTCCTTTCCTTTCCTTTCCTTTCCTTTCCCTTCCCTTCCCTTCCCTTCCGTTCCCTTCCCTTTTTCTTCCTTTCTTCCTTCCTTTCTTCCTTTCTTTTTTCTCCATGCAAAACGTTCTGTACTTCTGGGAGAAACCCCAATCATTATCCCCCGCAGAAACCTCAATTTTGAAAAGCACAGCAGCCCTTTCAAAGAGAAAAAAAAGAGAGAGAGAAAGAAAAAAAGGGAAAAAAAAGAGGAAAAAGAGAAAAGCTTTGGCCTGTTTGAAGATTGTGTGGCTGCTGAGAATAGAAAGGAACGGGGGTTTTCTTTGATAAGCTTCTCTCGCATGTCAAAAGCCTTTTGGGGGGGGTTCCCCCGTGCATCTTTTAGGCCCAGATGTTTTCGACAAGACAAAAGGGTTTGGAAGCAAGGTGCTTTCGGCAGATAACCGAATTTACGTTTAAGACTTGAGTTGCCTCCAGCGACTTGGGACGCGGCCTCACCTTTATCCTTTGCCTGAGCTTGTTCTGAGAGTTCAGTTCACAGGTGCATTTCCAATTTTCAGGAGTCCCAACACTTCATGTTCAACTGCAAAGAGGAGGGAAGGTGTTGGGAAGGTCACGCTAGAAGTGCCTGCAACACGGTTGATCAAGCTGGAGCGTGTTTTCAGTTGGCTTCCCATTGGTCGGTGGTGCAGTTGGACGTTTACGATAGGTGGATTCAGGGGTGGGCTTCAAAAATTTTAGCAAAGGGTTCTCTGCCTGGTTGCTGGCTGGGTGTGGCCATGGTGGGTATGGCCTAGCCGGCCTCCTGCACCACAGCAGGGGAGGGCATTTTTTGCCCTCCCCAGGCTCCGGAGGCTTTTCTCGAGCCTCCGGGAGGGCCAAAACAGCCTCCCCTAGCTCTGGAGGCCAGAAACGGGCCCATTTCCGTCCTTCCCAAACTTCCAGTAAGCTCGTTTTTCGCCCTCCCTGAGCCTCCACCTGTGCCCTGCATCCAAAATGGGCCGTGTGGGGACTCCTGGGAGGGGAGGGCGGGGCCAGACAGGAGTGAGATTTGGGGGTTCTCCGAACTGCACAGAATCTTAGCTAGAGGTTCTGCCGAACCCCCAGCAACCCACCCCGGGTGGTTTGAGTCGCAAAAATTTCCTTTGCCTTTAGATCTAAAAGGCGGCGCGGGGTGGGGGGGAGCTTAACATAATCTTCCTTGTAACTCCTGGAGAACACAAGATTCCTTAAGAATGATACCCGATCGTAGAGAAATATTTGCAACTCGGGGTTGAACTCTTGAAGAGAGCAAACCGCATTCTCTGATGATTTTACCTAGCTAGGTCATGAAACGTCTTAAAGAACAGCGCCAAGCTCGGAAAGCAACCCCAGAATAGTATTTCCCGCGTCTGTCCCTGCACTTGTTTTAGGAAAACGGGCTGCCGGTTCGGAGTGCAGGCAGAATTCACGTGCGGCGCGTGGGTGAGTTTGGAAGAAAAATCCCCTGCCTAACCAAAGATGCGTTCTCTTCCAGTGTGTATGTGTGGGTGTGGGTGGGTCGATGCCTTCAGGAGCTGGCAGACGGTGCTACAATGATAATCACTGCCCCCATCCAGGAAAATGAGCTTCCCTGAATTTAATCCAGCTAACTTTTTTGGGGTTTTTTTGCTTGGAACTTCAGTTGCCTTAATTCTACGTATTATAATAATCTAGTGCCTTCTAGATAGTTTAGGATTACGGCTGGGAATTCTGAAGGTTGCAGCTAGTGCCACGTCCGGAAATTGGACGTTCACGCTTGGGAAATGGAATTTCTTGGCGTTAGTGAGAAAACAGATGCTTGAATTTGGGATCTGTTTGGCTTAATAGCAATAGCGCTTGGATTTATATACCACTTCACAGTGCTTTTACAGCCCTCTTTAAGTGGTTTACAGAGTCAGCCTCTTGCCCCCCAACAATCTGTGTCCTCATTTTACCGACCTAGGAAGGATGGAAGGCTGAGTCAACCTTGAGCCAAGTCAGGATCGAACTGCTGGCAATGGGCAGAATTAGCCTGCAATACTGCATTCTAACCACTGGGAAGGAAGGAAGGAAGGAAGGAAGGAAGGAAGGAAGGAAGGAAGGGGAGATGGTAGATTCTGAAGAGGTTTAAATAGCAATAGCACTTAGACTTATATACTGCTTCACAGTGCTTTACAGCCCTCTCTCAGCGCTTTACAGAGTCAGCCTATTTGCCCCCAACAATCTGGGTCCTCATTTTACCCACCTCGGAAGGACGGAAGGCTGAGTCAACCTTGAGCCTGGTGAGATCTGAACTGCTGGCAATCAGCAGAAGTAGCCTGCAGTACTGCCTTGTAACCACTGCGCCACCACAGCTCTGTATCTCCAATACAGGTAGTCCTCAAGTTACGGCTGTAGTTAAAGCCTGGCAATTATGATTGTTAAGTCGTGACAGTTCATAAATCAGGGCACCAGGTGAGCAGACCCGATTTTACTACCTTCCCCCCCCCCCCGCGGTCGTTAAACGAGCATGTTAAATGAACTCATTCACGATTGGCTTTTACTGCAAGAAACTTGGAGTAAATGATGGTTTCTGGCCAGCACATTGCAAATCGTGGTCGCTAGACCATGATATGCTGCAAATGGTCGTTAAGGGCTCCCAAAATGCAGTCATGTGACCTTTGGGGGGGGTCAGGAACAACATCAGAAGTTCAAAACCAGATTATAAATAGCTTTTTTTGGGCGGGGGGGGTGGCTTGTCATAACTTTGAACAGTTGGAAGTTGAGGGGGGGAATCAGCTGGGGGGAATCAGCTGTGCCACGTGATTGATATGAGCTACAAAGCAAGAAAGGACAGGATAGAGCCGGGGGGGAGGGGGACTGATCATCGGAACTACCGGTTCGCGCAAACCTATCCAAACCGGCTGAATACCACCTCTGACCTGTATGGATGGCTCAGTTCTTTCCTGGCCTTTCCTTGGTGATGTTGGACATGAATTGGGCAAGTAAAACAGGCGTTTTTCTTCCCCTTCCCCACCCCAGTTCACCTGGTCAGTTATCCTCCTGGATTGTAGCTGGAAGAAACCGAACAGTTACTCCTCGACGTACGACCACAATTGAGGCCAGAATTTTTGTCGCTCAGCGGGACGGCTGTTCAGCGAATTTTTGCCCCATTTTACAACCTTCCTTGCACGGTTGTTAAGGGAATCTTGTCTTCCCCGTTGGCTCGGCTTGTCAAAGGTCACCAAAGGGGATCGCGTGATTCCCCCCCCGCCCCCCCAGGGGGACACTGCGACCATCGTAAATATGACTCAGTTTCCAAAGATCTGAATTTTGATCACAGGGATGCTGCAACGGTCGTAAGCGTGAAAAACGGCCGTAAGTTACTTTTTTTTCCAGTGCCGTTCGAACATTCATTAAAGGAACCGTTGTAAGTCGAGGACTATCTGTAGTAAATAAACGAGAGCAAACCCCACTCCCTTCCAGCACTGATGGTGTTAAATAGTTTGGTAATGAAACACCTGCAGGCAGGAAGCTTTGAACTTTTGAACTTTGAACTGTTGTAATGACATATTTGCCTTAGAAGTAGCACAAACTACCGTGTTTCCCCGAAAATAAGACCCTGTCTTATATTTTTTTTTGAACCCTGAAATAAGCACTCGGCCTTATTGCCATGCGCTCAAAAGCCCGATTGGGCTTATTATCAGGGGAATGTCTTATTTTGGGGGAAACAGGGTAGATCAGGTAGAATTAAGCATGATCCCAAATAGCTGTAGAAATAAGATGTATTGCAAGGGGGGAAACTCAGGTTGTATCATTCCTACAACATCTGACCTGCGAGCACCCGACGACCTTCTACAATTTGTTTGAGGCAGTTTATTTGCATTTGGGGCAAGGTGGGGTGGCTGCTTCCGTTCACCTGTCCCCCCAGCATGATCTGTTATTTTTGCCTTTCTCTCTTTGGCTGACTTCGGCTGTCTTCCTCCCGTGAATTTAAATGTTGGTCACTTTTTTATTTTATTTTTTTACGTTGATGTGAATTGCAGCCTCCCTACAGACCTTCCTGTCCGTCAGTCGGCGGTCTTATGCATGCGCGCAGCATTTGGTAGGGTAGAATCGTGGCTTTCGTTTCGTGGCGAGCATGTTGCCTGCTTGATTGTGGCATTTGTCGCCGATCCTGTGTGCGTCTCTCTCTCTCTCTCTCTCTGTGTCCCTCCCCGTTTAAATCGGAGAGTCTTCCTTGGCACGATTCAGCTTGCCGGATGCAGTTCCCTGCTCCTTTCCTTCTTCTCTCCCATCAGCCGGAGTTTATTTAACACATTCCGGGAATCAGAGGGAAGCCAACTCTGCTCTCCCCAAAGACCAACAACAGGAAGTCTTAGAAGGACCAAAACCAGGAAGCGTCCAAGGGACCAAGGAAGCTTCAAGGATGGAGACCATTTCGGTGGCATCTCCTCGCCAAATGGAATTGCCCTTTTCAGTTGGATCCAAAATTCGTAGCCGCGGCCCCATTGTGGAAGCAACTTCTCTGCGGGAAAGTGAGTTCACAGGAGCTAGTCCCCTGGATGGTAAGACTGATCAGAATGGATGCCAGTCTGAAGAAGAACGAGGGTCAAAAGGGCACTCCACATTTGCACTGTTGGCCAGTTCGGAAGACGAATGCGAGAAGGTTCCTTCTGAGATTCTCCGTTCACATTCCACCCCGTCTCCCAGCGTCACTGTGGAGCCACCCGTGGAAAAAGATTCCCCGGAATCTCCATTTGAGGTCATTGCTGACAAACTGGAATTTGATAAGGAATTCAAAGAGGTTCCGACCAACAACTCCAAGGACATTGGGAGCAACTGGGTGATCCACAGCGAAAGGGAGCTGTTGACTGACATTCCAGAAGATAGCGTTTGCGAGTTCCAGATAAAGCCCCGTAGCAGCGGGCGGCTTCCCTCAGGACCGGGGCTCTCCCGCCAGTCTTCAGGCACGACGGCGGCACTGGAGGAAGTCTCCAAATGTGTCCGTGAACTGCACAGCTTCAACAACGAGCTGCTTAACTGGGACTTGATTCCCAGTAAGGATCTGGAAGACAAGACGGATGACTTTATCGACACGGGCTTTAAGGCCTCGTCTGCCGAAATCGGCGGCAGTATTCCAGAAACTGTGGTGAGCCCTAGCGATGTGGAAACCGGCAAGGCGTCCGTGCCTCACCACCCCGTCACGATCAGGCTCCACCCAAAAGGCAAGCCGTCTCCAAAAGTAGACAAGAATCAAGCCACGGTGGTTGGCCAAGCCGTAACTGCGGTGAAAAGTGCTCCTCCGGAAGTCTTCCAGGTGACAGCCGAGCTGTCTTGGCCCAATCCATGCTTGCCTGAAACGGCCGATGCGGATAGCTCTGGAGAATCTGATGACACGGTCATCGAAGATGTTCCAGCTGACCTGACATTCCCGAATAAGGCGGCGGCTGTGAATTGCCAGGGGTTCTCGAAACTCACCGGCTCTTCTGAAGCCGAAATTGAATATATAGATGAGGAGGACGAAGAGGCATCTGATGAGCTTCAGGAAGACCAGATGGTTCCCCAGTCCTTGGAAAGCCGTTGGCGATTCGCCGATGAGTTCAAAGCAATCCAGGCTGTGGAGAGATCGCCTCCTGCACTTCAGCCCTCCAGGGAACCAGGTCTAAGCGCACCTTCTAAAGCCAAGCAGGTGTTCGATGCTGGAGAACTGGAGGTGCCAAGGAAGACTCCCAAGGCCGAAGACCCTTCGAGAAAGATCACCTTGGACAGCGTCAAAGAGGTGGTGTGCCCTGACGGGCTGGGCAGTGAGAGTTTTATGGACTTCATGAAGGAGTGCTTAAAATCCAAGGGGGGCGAATCGCCCGAAGATCCGGTCGAGATGTTCTCGGAGGCAGAGCTGAAGGCTGCCCGTTCCCAAGGGGCCTGGCCCTACTTTCAGCAGCCGCCCCAAGTCAAGCAAGATTTCGAACACGAGCACGTCACCATCACAGCCCTCAAAGAAGTGGGGAGGAAAGCCGAGATGGAGAGATCCCCGCTCTTCTCTCCCTCCAGAGGGAGGCATTCTGGACAGTACTGTGAGTTCCCGCCTGACGCTCCAGCATCTGCTCCAAAGTCAGCCTTGGAGAAGAGGCCCCTCTGCCTTGAGCAGGCTGTCGATGTGATGCTGGTTCCCGCCAGTGTCAGTCTTGGGAAAACGTCTCATCCGCTTCCTCCCGAGCCGCCGTCCGCACTACACGCCATGACAAAATTACTGGCTGAATTCTCAGGTAACCACACAAGAAGGTAATGCTGTGGCTTGCATGTAGCTCCCTGCATATAACGGTGGATATTGTGTTGTTTATTTCCACTGGGGTGACAGTGGATACTTGGATAAGCTTACTTTTTACCTCCTTATTTGTAAAATCCCACATCATCATCATCATCATCATCATCATCATCATCATCATCATCATCAGCATTCCCATGAAGTTCCACTCTATTTGTCTGGTTAATTTTACGGTTTTCAAAGACGTATTTGGTCAGGAAGACCAAAAATATATATATATATATATATCCTTTTGCTTTCTAAAAACACTATCCCATTTATCCGTTTAAAACTTTCTCACATCACAGTCTCGTTAAGCTTTTGGCTTTTAAATTGAAATTCTTGTAAGATAGTAGGGTTTCCCACTCCCCCCCCCTTCTACTTAATTCCAAAATGAAGGTAACTTACCGAGTATCTTTCGGAATATCTCTCTTAAGTTGTAAATTAGTTGTATGCAAAAGTGTTTAAGAAAGTGAGGTTTCTGTAGGTCGTATCCATAAAGGCTACATAACGATTTTTCAGGGGCACGTTGGTGTTTCCTTGGCTCTTGTCTGTTGCAAGACCAGATGCACTTGTGAAGATCCAATTAAACAGATTTATTGCTGAAAGCTTATGCGCAAGAATCTTCTCAACTAACAATCGGCAGCGGCTTGGAGTTAGATAAGGCTCAACAGAATGTTCTGACCTAGGCTTCCCTAAAAAGCAGGAAGCAGAGTCTTGGTCCCGGCAAAACCTCTTTTTATTTACACGACTGTGAATTCCTTTCATTCACAGTCAGCAAGGCCTGTCCAAACAGTTTGTCAAAGGAATATTTATCAACACCGACCTTATCTCGCTTGGAAGGCTGCCAGGTAACTAGTTTCCAAATGCAGTACAAGGCCAAACTTGGCACAGAGTCTCTCAGTGTCACGGAATGAAGGAATTGTTTCCTTCAAAAGCCCCCTCCCCGTTCGCTTCTCTTTTGTTTCCTATGGGAGGGGACAATCACCTCCAAGGTGTGGCTTTACTCCTGAGTCGACCCTGCTTTCTGAGTTGTTCTTGTCTTCTGGCAGCTCTGCGCATGCACACAGTGGGAACAGGGTCCAGCTGTTCCTCTGCCTCACTGCTGTCTTATCTCCCTCTCTGCCTCCGACGCAGAGCCCTCGTCCGAGCTTTCCCCAGCCCCCCCAGGACTGGCCCATGTTCCTCCCCAACCTCCTCACTGTCTGACTCTGCTGCCAGTTCCACTGGCCGCCCGCGGGCCGCAACACAGAATACAAGGGAGGTTGGATTTAGTCCGCTTATGGCTATGTAGGGATTCTAAGCCGATTCCTCTTTTGACTCCGCCTCCAGTTTCTGCCATTCCTCCTCCAGCTCCCAAACTGTTCAATGCACAATGGAGTGCAAAAACCCTCAATTCTTGAGATCTTCTCGAAAGGACCAACTATCCAGGGTTCAAGAAGGGCGATCTCCTGATCTCTTCCTTCTCCAGAGAGAGAATTTCATCAGCCCGGCTGCTAATTTTTACCACGATGCTTTTCCCCCACTCGTGAAACGCTCACTGAGACATCCAAACTGCGTAGACCCTCACCCAAGATCAGTCACTAAGTTAGAGCTTTCTAGACAAGAACTACAGGTAATCCTCAATTTATGACCAGTTGCTCTGGTGACTGTTACAACGGACCCCCCAAAAGCGAGTTACAACCTGATTTCAAAGTTTATGATGGCTCCAAGACACATTTTGATGCTTTTTGTCAGTTTCTGGCGTCGCTTTGTTTTTCCAGTAAAAAAATGCCCATTAGGTAAAATTGATTCGCTTAATGTCGTGTTTGCTTAAAGACTGCAACGACTTACAACCGTAATTCTGGGCCAAGTATGGCCATAAGTTGAGGATTACCTGCAAATGTATGATGGAATACTCCTCCATAACTATTGCCAGTGAATTTGCAGCTTTTTTTTGTGTTTGTTTCTTTTAATCCAGTGAATATTTCTGATAATGAAGGAAATTCAAAGCAGTTGGTTGTGAAGGTAACTAGTTAGCTATTTAGGATTGGGGGTGGGGGGGTGGGGGGCAGTGCATCTTCCAATACTTGAGGGGCTTGTCACCAAGAATAGGGGGACGACTTACTCTCCAAAGCACCTGAGAGCAGGACAAGAAGTAATGGGTGGAAGTTCATTAAAGAGAGGAGCAACCTAGAACTAAGGAGAAATTTCCTGACAGTGAGAACAATTAATCAGTGGAGCAACTTGCCTCCAGAAATTGTGAAATGCTCCCAACACTGGAAGTTTTTAAGAAGAGGTTGGACGACGATTTGTCTGCAATGGGATAAAGACTACCTTGAGCAGGGGGTTAAGAGTAGAGGACCTCCAAGGTCCCTTCCAACACTGTTCTTCTGCTATTCTTTTTTCCTTCCTTCCTTCCTTCCTCATCACTGGAGATTTTCAAGAAGAGACTGGACAATTTGTCTGAAATGGTATAAGAACTCCTGCCTTAAGCAAGGGGTTGGACTAGAAGACCTCTAAGATCCCTTTCAACACTGTTTTTATGTTCTTCTGCGATTCTTTTTTCCTTTCTTCCTTCCTTCCTTCCTTCCCTCCCTCCCTATTTCCTCCCTTCCCTCCCTTTTTCCTTCCTTCCTCCCTTCCCTCCCTTTTCTTTTCTTCTTTCTTTCCTTCCTTCCTTCTTTCCTTCCCTCCCTCCCTTTTTCCTTTCTCCCTCCCTCCCTTTTTTCTTTCTTTCCTTCTTTCCTTCCTTCTTTCCTTTCTTCCTTCCTTTCCTCCTCCTCCCTCTCCCCTCCCTCCCTTCCCTCTGTCCCTCCCTTTTTCCTTCCTTCCTTCCTCCCTCCCTTCCTTTTTCTTTCCTTCTTTCCTTTCTTCCTTCCTTCCCTCCATCCCTTTTTATTTCCTTCCTTCCCTCCCTTTTTCCTCCCTCCCTCCCTTTTTTCTTTCCTTTCCTTTTTTTCTTTCCTTCCTTCTTTCCTTCCTTCCTTCTTTCCTTCCTCATCACTGGAGGTTTTCAAGAAGAGACTGGACAGCCATTTGTCTGAAATGGTATAAAGACTCTGCCTTGAGCAGGGGGTTAGACTAGAAGGCCTCCAAGGTTCCTTTCAACACTCTTTATGTTCTTCTTCTATTCTTTTTTCCTTCCTTCCTTCCCTCCCTCCCTCCCTCCCTCCTCACTGGAGGTTTTCAAGAAAAGATCGGACAGCCCTTTGTCTGAAATGGTATAAGGACTCCTGCCTTAAGCAAGGGGTTGGGCTAGATGACCTCCAGGGTGTCCCTTCCAGCCCTACAATTATAAGTTCTGTTTGGAGGGTGGATGGGTGGGTGGGGAAGAGCCATTGTGGGATTTCGCATAACTGAAGTCAAAAGCGTGTGAGAAAGACAGTTGGGAGGGGGAGGTACCACGGCTTCCTAACCCTTGGAGCTAAACGGTATGCAAAAAAATCTGGAAAAACTGGAATTTTGTGTCGTGTGTGTGTGTGTGTTTTCCCACCAAGCATCCCGAGGATCTGCCATACATTTGTAGTTTAGACCAGAATTGTATAAAAGATAAAAGAGATGTTTTTTTGATTTCCAGAAGAAAACGTTGGAGGGGGGCGCGGTGTCTGCGAGCTCAATTTTGGGAGATTACATCTTTAAGGAGAGATAGAGGAGGATGACACCCCCCTCTTCCCTCTCCTTTTTAAGTCAGGGAGTCCCCCCCTCCAAAAAAAGGATGGGCTTTTATAAACTTTTATTCTTGGCCAGCTGCCCCGTGGCCCATGGACCCCTCAAGGGGGAGTGGATTTCCCCCACCCACTCAAACAGAGGAAGCCTTGTGTTGAGTTGTAAATGCTTCTTCTGTGCTGGATTCTTTTGGGCGGCGGTGCGGTGGAGGGGGCTTGTCTGGGGTCTAGCCCCACATGCTTTTCTGTCTGCAAAGCCTCAGCTTTTATTCTCCAGATCTGTGGCTTAGATAGGGACGCAGTGGCTCAGACACGGAGCTTGTCGATCGAAAGGACGGCAGTTCTGCGGTTCGAATCCCAGCACCGTGGAATGGGGTGAGCTCCCGTGACTTGTCCCGGCTTCTGCCAACCTAGCAGTTCGAAAGCAGGTAAAAAATGCCAGTAGAAAAATAGGGACCCCCTTTGGTGGGAAGGGAACAGCGTTCCGTGCGCCTTTGGCGTTGAGTCATGCCGGCCACATGACCACGGAGACGTCTTCGGACAGCACTGGCTCTTCGGCTTTGAAACGGAGATGAGCACCGCCCCCTAGAGTCGGGAACAACTAGCACATAGGTGCAAGGGGAACCTTTACCTATGGCTTAGGTAACCTTTACCACCCCAGCATTCAATAACACACAATACAGGTTAGCCCTCGACTTACGACTCACATTTCTATTGTTTTAAGTTGAGTTTTTGTCCCCATCGTACGACGTTCCCTTGCCTCCAGTTGTTAAGTAAACCACTGCAGCTGTTAAGTGAGTCGCACCGTCGTTAAGCGAGTCTGGCTTCTCCCATTGACTTTGCTGGTCAGAAGGTCCGGCAAAAGGGGAAATCGCGTGACTCCCCGGGACTCGTCATAAATACAAGTCAGTGGCCAAGTGTGTGAATTTTTTGATCACCTGACCACGGGGATACCACAACGGTCATAAGTGTGGAAACAACGGTCCTCGGTCGCTTTTCTTCAGTGCCGTTGTAACTTCAAATGGTCACTAAACGAACTGTTGTAAGTCGAGGACTAGCTGTATAGTAAACTGGGAGAATTTTGAAATATAGGGGAGAAGGTGGTTGGTGGCTAAATAAATATATAAAAATGTCGAAAGGCATCTCCACCCACAGAACAGCCTTCTACCTCAATTAAATTTGCTCTTTGGAGGAATATAAATTGCATTAATGTCTGATCTGTATTCTCCACCTCAAAGCGTACAGCTTGCTATCTGAATTAAGTAGGAATACTCAAATTACCAAGCCTGCAATATTAAAGCTGCTAAATCCTTAAAGTCGCCACCTTTTCGTTTTTTGGAAAAGCAGAAGAAAAAAAGGAAGATCAGGCTAGGACAAAACAAAAGCTTTTTTTTTTTTTTTTAATTGTTTGGCATTTGAAACTCCTCCTCCTCTCCACAGCGTTATCCAAAATTTAAGAAACAAGGGATGTTTGCATCCTAACCTTTCCTCTCCTTAATAAAGCGCTTAAATGCAGAATTTTTAGTTCCAAGGTAAATTGTGATGCAAACTTTATAAAACTCTTGTCAACAATCAAGTTGGAATCGGGGTGGATTTCATTTAAATCAAGTCGATTTAAATCAAGTCGATTTAAATCACGATTTAAATCACTAGTAAAATGGCTTGATTTAAATCGACTCGATTTAAATCATCATTTTTAAAGAGCAAGTGTCATCTCTTGTCCCGCAGGGGCTCCTCCTCTGACCTGCGGTTGACTCACCGACAGCCCCAATATTGCAGAATTTAATAGTAACGAGTTGGAAGGGACCTTGAAGGTCATCTAGTCCAACCCCCTGCTCACACAGGAGACCCATACTAGGGATTCGAACCGCAGCCTCATGCTACGTACCTAAGCTCCATTTCATGCTGAATAAAATCAATTATTTATATTATCTTACATAGAAAACTTACCTTTACATGGATTTTTTCACTCCAAAAGCATTTGATTAAAATAAATTTGATTTAAATTTTAAAAAAACCGATTTATTTTTTTTAAATCCAATTTTCTTTTTATTTTTTAAATCATCGATTTTTTATCCACCCTGGTTGAAATCTACAAAAGCTTCCTTTTTTTTTTAAAGAAAATATTGTCTCACTTAATAATGGCTTCGCCTATTCTCCACAAAAGAATATCCTGGAAACAAGAATTACAATCGGTGTATTTTTTTTTTTATTACAATTATAACTGGTGCTCCGTTTTCAGAAACTCCCATCCTGAGGAGGAGAATGGGAAGAAGGTTTTACTCCATCATAAAAAAAAAAAATCTTTTTAAAGCTTCTGTGTTGCTTCTCGGCAATCTTAATGAATTGGGGGATTGCAATTCCCAATTGTTGTGACTAGAGGCTGGTTTTATGCAGCTATGACTACAAATCTATGTCAATCACCTTTCTTTTTCTTTAAATGAAGATTTTCTATTCCGTTTTTGTATCTTGAAACTGATTCGGGGGGAACGTTCCCTTTAGTTTAAAACGAGAATCCTAAAGCATCATTGGAAGGCTGCAAAACAGCCCAATTGTAAATAACAGGGAGCCTTTGACTTACCACAAATGAGGTCAACATTTCAGTTGCTAAGTGAAGCATTCGTTAAGTGAGCTTCTTTGCCCCATCTTACGACCTTCCTTGCCCCCGTTGCTAAGCGAATCGCAGCAGTTGTCAAGTGAGTCGCATGGTGGTTAAATCAGTCCGGCTTCCCCTGTTGACATGGCTTGTCAGAAGGTCCCCAGAGCGGATCACGTGATACCCTTCTCCCCCTCCCGGGACACTGCAACCCGTCATAAATATGAACCATCTGCCCCAGCGTCTGAAATTTTAAATCACGTGACCCTGGGATAATGGTCGTAAGTGTGAAAAACGGTCCTAGGTCACTTTTTTTTCCAGGGCCGTTGTAACTTCGAACGGTCACTAAGTGAACTGTGGTTAAGTCGAGGACTCCCCGTAGTTGTTATTTGTTTTTGTATGTTTTTATTTTCAAATTTAGACACTGCCCATCCGGCTGGGCAGTCTATAGAGGTACCGGTTTCCCCTGCAGAGCTGACGCACTCAATTTTACGGTGGATAGCAATAGCACTTAGACTTATATACCCCTTCACGGTGTTTTACATCCCTCTCTAAGCGGTCTACAGAGTCAGCCTCTTGCCCCCCAACAATCTGGGTCCTCATTTTTACCCACCTCGGAAGGACAGAAGGCTGAGTCAACCTGGAGCCGGTCAGAATCGAACTGCTGGCAGTGGGCAGAATTAGCCTGAAATACTGCATTCTAACCACTGGGAGAGGAAGGAAGGAAGGACAATAGCAATATCACTTAGACTTATATACCGCTTCATAGTGCTTTACACCCTCTCTAAGCGGTTTACAGAGTCAGCCTCTTGCCCCCAACAATCTGGGTGCTCATTTTACCCACCTCGGAAAGATTGAAGGCTGAGTCAACCTTGAACCGGTCAGGATCAAACTCCTGGCAGTGGGCAGAGTTAGCCTGCAATTCTGCCTTCTAACAGGAAGGAAGGAAAGGAAGGGAAGGAAGGGAAGGAAGGTAGCAGTAGCACTTAGACTTATATACTGCTTCATAGTGCTTTTACAGATAACAATAGCAATAGCAGCGGTATATAGAGGTATGTAGAGTTCTATACCGCTTCACAGCCCTCTCTAAGCGGTTTACAGAGTCAGCCTCTTGCCCCCCAACAATCTGGGTCCTCATTTTAACCCACCTCGGAAGGCTGAGTCAACCTTAAGCCCGGTGAGAATCGAACTGCCAAATTGCAGTCAGCCGGCAGTCAGCAGAAGTAGCCTGCACTACCACACTCCAACCACTGCGCCACCGGGACTCTCCTCCGCTGACTGCCGGTGCCTCCTCTTTCTCCCCAGTGCGAGATCTGGTTTTCTGGAGGGATGTCAAGAAGACCGCCGCCGTCTTCAGCACCACCCTGATCCTGCTGCTCTCCCTGGCCGCCTTTAGCGTCATCAGCGTCGTCTCGTACCTCATCCTGGCCCTGCTGTCTGTCACCATCTGCTTCCGGGTCTACAAGTCCGTCATCCAAGCTGTGCAAAAATCCGAAGAAGGCCATCCCTTCAAGTGAGCGGGCTTTTTGGGGGTCCGCTTTGGGTCTTCTGCCCTCAGTTGTCCCTTCTGTGAAATGGGCAGATCGCCACCGAGTGGTTTCGGATCCCCAGGGGCCCTCTGAATCCTGGACAAGAGCGTATTAAATGCGTATTTATGGGCACGGCCGGGTGGGTTCTACTTAACTTTACTACCGGTTCACATCGTCCCTGCGCACGAGCACTCGCATGCCCACATGCTCTTCTGCGCATATGCAGAAGCTTCTACGCATGCACAGATCACCTACGATGACGTCCAGCTCAGTGGTTGGTGCCTCCCGCCGGTTTTATTACCGGTTCTTGCGAACCGGTCCAAACCGGTAGCAACCCACCACTGGGCACAGTAAACAATAGTTGTGCGGTGTATCTCGACCACTGCACTTAAGGTGTGTCTGTCCCAAAGGTGCTTCCATTTTATTTTATTTTTTCAAGAGGCAACTGGACTTTCTGGTTTTCCTTGAAGACATTTTGCTTCTCATCCGAGAAGCTTCTTCAGCTCTGACTGGGATGGTGGGGAACGGAAGGATTGATACTCCTTGCAGACAGCTGGTCATTTGCATCCTTTTAGAAGGTCGTTGAGGCCACTTGGAGGTTTATCTGCGTCCTCGGGGTCCCCTGAGTGGTGCAAATGGGGTGTGGAGCCTTCTTGGAACTGCTGAAACTACTCAGGTGACCCTGAGGACACAGAAAAACCTCCCAAGTGGCCTCAACGACCCTCTAAAAGGATGCAAATGACCAGCTGTCTGCTGGAAGCCATCATCAGAAGTTCATACCTGGATTGTAAGCATCTTTTTTTGGGGGGGGGGGCGGTCTGTCGTAGCTTCGAACAGTCACTAAGGGATCGGTGGTAAGCCGAAGACTACCTATATGTTTCCTTGGCTGTGACACTCTGCCCTTTCCCTCCTCAGAGCCTATCTAGACATGGACGTCACCCTCTCTTCCGACACCTTCCATCACTACGTCAGCTCCGCCCTGGTCCATGTCAATCACATCCTGAAAGCCATCCTGCGCCTGTTCCTGGTGGAAGATTTGGTCGATTCACTGAAGGTCAGCGCGAGTCCTGAACCCAGAAATTTGGGTCCAGGGTGCTTTGCCGGGGAGTGGTGGGTGGTAACTCAGTAGGCGTTGTGGCCCGCCAGCGGATCTGGCAGCAGATTCAGACAGTGAGGAGATTGGGGAGGAACATGGGCCAGTCCTGGAGTCTGGAGAGGGCTCTGATGAGGGCTCTGCGTCCGAGGCAGAGAGGGGGCCAGGGCCGTCTGACAGTTACCAGCTGCCTTCGGAGTCAGACATCAGATATCCCCGAAAATAAGCCCTCCCCGTAAATATTTAAACGCAGAGGTAAGACGGCAAGAGGAGCCGCATCATGCTCCACGCGCCCCAAAATAATAAGACCTCCCCGAAAATAAGGCCAAGCGCTTATTTCGGGGTCCACAAAAAATATAAGACAGGGTCTTATTTTCGGGAAAACACGGGTAGCATATATGATCCTTGCTGCCCTGCCCTCCTGTTCTTGCTAACTGTGCCGTGTCCTGTTTGGTCTGCAGCTCGCAGTCGTCATGTGGCTGATGACGTACGTCGGGGCCATTTTTAATGGGATCACCCTTCTCATCCTAGGTAAGTTGCAAACACAGGTAGAGATGAAAGTGTGGACGGTTCCGCAGTGACCAGGTGGCCAAGACCTCCCTTCCTTTCTCCATTTGCTTCCTTCTCTGTTCTATACTCTTCGTTTAGGTATTAGATTTATATCCCGTGCTTCATTGGGGACCTCAAAATGGCATACATTTTCCCCCAGAACAACAGCCCTGTGAGGTAGGCTGACTTGAGAGGGATGGACTGGCCCAGAGTGTCTCAGGGAGCTTCTTGAGGCTTCTTGAACTCGGGTCTTTCCGGTACTACCAGTCTATCATCTTGCCCTCTACAGAATCCCATCTGTTCCAAAGTATATTTTATTGTATTTTAATTTTGTTTTATTTTATTTTTATTTATTTATATTTTATATTTCATTTCATTTCATGTTTTGTTTTATTATTTTATGTATTTTATTTTTATTTTATATTTCATTTCATTTCATTTCACTTCATATTTTATTTTATTTTATCATTTTATTATTATTTGCATGCCACCCCCCCTCTCCCTACCAAGCGACTTCAGGCGACTTTGATTGATGCTTAAGTTTGCTCTCCAAAGTACGCAGCCGATAAGGAAGAGACATCCAGGAAGGAGAGGTGGTTTAAAAAAAGGAAAAAAAGAAATCTAAGGCACCTGTTTGAAAAATAGAATAGAATAGAATTTTTTATTAGCCAAGTGTTTATTGGACACACAAGGAATTGGTCTTGGTCTTGGACAAAGGAATAGCCATGCAGACGGTTCGGTAGCATGATGAGAACATTATTCCAATTTCATTTTAAATCGTATTTTATCCAAATTCCATTTTAAATTGGTTTTATCAAATTTTAGTAATCATTTGTTTCTGGAACTCTGCACTTTGATATGGCCCAAGGGCTAATATCAATAAATAAAGATTTAAATATAAGAAAAGGGACATCAGCAGTTGCCAAAACAGGGCATTTCTCCTTTGCTGGACCGCTTGATAAAACAGCCCAAGACAAGGTATAAATTGTCCCTACTCCACCTTCTGGTACCATGCATTTCCTCCCAGTCCTAAACCTTCCTCTTTCTGAGTGTCTAGAAACTCAAAATTTGTCTAGAGAACAAATTGCCTAATTTGTTCAAAAATCCCACAGCTTCCCCTCCGTTTCTTCCTCCTGAGGCAAAGAGCATCTACCGTAGAGAGGCCTGCTTTCAATCCTGAGACCTGTCCTCAATTTTTTTTTAAGTAGCTTTTGGGTTTTGGAGATCACTTGGTTGGGCCCCACGGGCCTCTCTGGAATCAAGCTTCACCCCTTTTGACCTCTAATGTGTCAGGGTTAATGATAATGTAGAGCTGACCAGCCGCTGGAAGACTGTAGACCAGGATGAGTCAGTAGGGTTATTGCCGCTTTAAGAAGCTGTCTATATAAGGGAGGCCATGAGAGGGCGTCTCTCTCTCTCGCTCTCCTCATCGGGTTCTATCTGCATTGTAGCTCTCTGTGTAGAGTTGAAGATTGATTGCTTGCCTGGTACATGCCTACCACGTGTATGTATGTATATAGAAGTCTTGTATATAAACCATTGTTTGTAATGACAAAACTTCTGTGTCCTGTATTTTTGCTCCTGGGTTGTCTCAAAATAGTAGTCAAGCTGTAGTGTTTACAGCTTGACATAATGCCTTTTTTTCTTCTTTTTTAGGGGAATTGCTGGTTTTCAGCATGCCGGTCGTTTATGAGAAATATAAGGTGGGTAACTTCAGCCCCAAGAATTCTAAGCAAACCGATTCAGAAATAATAGGATGTGTGTCTTCCCAGGATTGCTGACATAATGGGATTTTGGGGGAAGTTGGTGGGTTTGACAATATTAGGGGACTTTGGCCGCTTCCTGGTTTTTTTTTTTCCCCCTAGTATAAAGCAGGGAATCGCAAACTTCTTCTCAAGCTTTGAAACACAGAGAACAGTGTCCAAAAAAAGGGAGCAGAATTTGTGATCCCATTTTTGGGGCATTTGGACAGCTTGTTAGAACTTGGAAGAGTAAATAAGAAGAGAAGCCAATGTGTTTTATTTCTTCTTTATTTTTCAAACATAGAATATTGCTTCATTCTTTTTCAGCATTTTATTCCCTCTTTTTTTTTAAAAAAAAAAAATGGGGAACAAAAATTAAGAGGATAGGTGCCTGTGTTGAAAGTCGAAAGATGGTGTTTCTCGACCTCGGGCACTTTTAAAGACGTGTAGATTTCAACTCTCAGAATTTCCCAGCCAGCAAGGTCCAAAGGCTAGGGAATTCTGGGAGTTGAAGTCCACATGTTTTTAAAGTGCCCGAGGTTGGGAAACGCTGGTCTAAGAGCAGGTCTGGTGACAGACCAGAGCTATGAATGGGAGAGGGAAGGAGAGGTCAAACGCATCATCAGTCTTGAGTCTCTTCATGCCCACAAGAGATGTACAGTAGTGGCCAAAATTGTGGAAACCTTTTGGGAAAAGTATATTTTCTAAAACTAGCTAATAACACCACTTTTTGGGGGGACGAGTAGTACCATAAAATTATATATCAACGGAAAGATAATTTAATCAAGAGTGTAATGCAATAACTTCGATGAAGGATTTGCTATTAGAATAGCAGTTACAGTATAAAGAAGAAAAGTGAAACACATAGAAAAAAACAAGATAGACAAAAATGATCACCCTAGAAAAAATGAAAGAGACAAGAATGATCACCATGTCAGTTAATACTTAGTTGGGTAACCTTTAGCCTGAATGACGGCCTTACAACGTCTTCCCATGGAGCGAACCAAGTCTTTGAGTTCTGCAGCTGTTCTAATGTGAAACCAAAATGGAATGATGGCTTCTATTAACTGGGTTTTATTGCTGGGTCACTTCTGACTAACCAGTTTCTTGAGTCGGCTCCATAGATTTTCCATTGGGTTAAGGTCAATTGGCTATTCCCAGGCATTTCCATTCCAGCAGTGGAATAGGATTACCTTGAAACTCCAAAAATAAAAAGTGGTGTTATTAGCCATCAAACCTCAAAAATACACCTTTCCCAAAAAGGTTTCCACAATTTTGGCCTCTACAGTAAGCCCAGCCCACCTTGAATTCCATTGAAATTCCGAAACTCCAATTTGCTTTGACAGCAGTCCATATTCTTGTAGAGGGAATAAAGCTAGTAATAAATTCTCCTTATATTCATTTGAAACTGCCAGGTTTCCTGACTTTACCACCCTGGGCAGAAGATGTATAAATTTGACTATATATGACCTATCTTTGCTATCCCTGACTTATCTTCCCTGTTGCTTTTTGGTTCTCAGACTCAGATCGATCATTATGTCGGGATCTTCCGGGATCAAGCCAAATCCGCCGTTACAAAGTGAGTCGCATGAAAAGATACAGACTAGGCAGCCTCTGAGGACCGAGGTAGAAATGATCAGGCTCAGCCTCGTTAGTTGTGAGGCATTTCTTCCCACTGTCAGCTCCTCAAAATGGCTGGAGGTGGCTTAGGTGTGCTCAGGAGGGCCTTTCCCAGAATCCCCCTTGGCAATGGAAGAAAGCCATAGGCCAAAACTGAGGTAGTTGGGCGAGGGAGGGAGGGAAGATCATGGAAGGAAGGAAAGACGGAAAATGATAAGGAAGGAAGATTATGGAAGGAAGTAAAGAAGGAAGGAAGAAAGGAAGAGGAAGGAAGGAAGGAAGATGATAAGGAAGGAAGGAACATCATGGAAGAAGGAAGGAACATCATGGAAGGAGGAAAGAAGGAAGATGATAGGAAGAAGATGATGGAAGGAAGGAAGGAACATCATGGAAGGAAGGAAGGAACATCATGGAAGGGAGGAAAGAAGGAAGATGATGGAAGGAAGGAAGGAACATCATGGAAGGAAGGAAAGAAGGAAAATGATATGGAAGGAAGGAAGGAACATGGAAGGAAGGAAAGGAATATAAAGAAGAAGGAAGGAAGGAAGATAATGGAAGGAAGGAAAGGAAGATGATAAGGAAGGAAGGAAGCTCATGGAAGGAAAGGTGATAGAAGGAAGAAGGAAGGAAAATAGATGATGAAGGAAGGAAGAGGAAGGAAGGAAAAGAGAAAGGAAGGGAAAAGAAAAATGAGAAGGAAGGGGAGGGAAAGGAAGGGGAAGGGATAAGACAGATGGGAAGGAAAGAAGAAAAGTATGGAGAGGAAGGAAGGAAATAAATTTCACTTTGCTGAACAATCAAAAAACGGTAGCCTCCACACGTTTGACAACCTTAAAAATGGAACCTCTAAAAATAATTCAGGGATTTACGGATATTTAAAATGCCCAAAGGGCCATTAACCTTCCTCCCCTTCTGTTTGACCTTCATCTTTCCTTTCTCCCTCTCCTGGCGGGCCGATTGGCTCTCAGAAGAAAATCCGGCAAGTTGCAAAATACTCGTGCGTTTTAGCTTCTCAGAAGGCCTGTTGACAGAGGTGGGATTCAACAGGTTCGGGCGAATTGGTAGTAGCAACCTGCCCGCCTGGAAGCAATCCCGTCCTATATTGCTGTGGTTTTGACGCCCGTGCGGACGGCGCGCGCTCGAGCGAATTCCCGTGTTGTTTGACGTCTAGTGCGCGAACGGCACACGAGTGTGCGCTGCATTTCCGGTGCTGGGCGAACCGGTGCGGGACCGAATGCGAATCCCACCTCTGCCTGTTGAGCCACGTTCCTTCCAATCTTCATTCATTAAAAAATAATTTTGAGAATCAGCTGCAGCAAGAACCCACCAAGGGGGTTTTCCGCGGCACGATCCTCGTTCTCAGCGCCTTTTTCTTCTTTCTGTTCCAAGGATCCAAGCGAAGCTGCCCGGCACCGTGAAGAAAAAGCCCGAATAACCTTCGCCAGCTCACGAAGAATACCCAGCCATTAACGAAATCCACACCACCACCACCAACAACAACAACAAAAAAAAAATTACTCCCTCTTGTGTCATGGCTATAATCACTGTTACTCATATCTTATGAAGGAACTTGCCAAGTCAGCTTGATGTCTGCGTTCCAAGCTTACTGATTGTGTTTTATTATTATTATTATAATATTGTTATTATTATTATTATTATTATCACCACCACCCCTTTCCCTTCCCCCTCCCCCAAAAAGCCGAAACACTGAGCTTTCAGAGATGCACTGGAATAATCATGAAACTGGTTTATCGGGTAGTTTAAAAAAAAAAAAAAAAAAAAACTTGAGAAAAAGGAGGGGAGGTGCTTTAAAAGGAGTCCTCCCCCACACTCCCCCCGTGTAAGTGGGGAGGATGGGGGGGGCGATGCTTGGAGAAAAACACCCCACCCACCAACACTCCTCAAAAGTCAAAAAGGCCGCAGTGTCCTCAGTTTCCCCAAGCGGTGAGGACCCCCCCCCCCTTCTCCTTCCCTCCAATCCCCCTCGGATGAAAGGATTGCCAACCAACCCAAGTATTTCCCTCCCCACTTCGCTTGCCCTCCTTCCTTAGTGAAATGGGGGGGGGGGGGTTTCCCAACTTCGGGGTGGGGGACAGGACGGACCGAGGAATCTGCTGCAACCAGGTTTGCAGCTTCCTTACCTCCCCTTCCTCTCCCCCACCCCATCGGAATAAGACGCTCCTAATTTAGGAAGCTCTGGGCAGCCTTTTTTTTCTCCCCCCCCCCCCCCCCCCCCCAATTTCTCTTCTCCCTGAAAATAGAAATATTCTGCATCCCCCCCTCCCCATTGTGGCTTCGCTCCCTCTCCTTTTCTTGCAAGCTCATCCTTCTCCTTCCCTCCCTGCCCGAATTCTGTATTTTTATTTTATTTTATTTTCCCTGCGTGATCCCGAACTGAAAAAGTCTGCAACTGCTGTAACAAATGGCTGTCCTTAAAAAAGAAAATAATAATAATTCAACACCCCCCCCCTCCCACCGCCTCTTTCCCTCCTTTCTCATACCATTTTAGCCTCAAAAAACTTAAGGCAAGGAATTCCCTCCCTCTTCCTTCTGAGCCCCTCCCTCATTTCTCTCCCCCCCCCTTTCTCGTACTCTTGCTTCCAATTCAGGGAAGAGCAGAGTTGGGAGAGCAAAGAGGCTAGTCCTCATGGAGGGGCTAGTCCTTTTGGGCGGAGGGAGGAAATTCCCAGGGATTTCCCTTCCCTTCCTGCGAAGTGGAAACGCCCCCAGAAAGAAATAGGAAACTGAATAGGAAAAGATTGCCTTCCCCACCCCACCCGAGGCTGCCTCGGTTTCCTTCCCCTTCTCACATCTCACCCACCCTTCCTTTGCAAGCTGGTTGTTGTTTAAAATTGAGGGGGGAGATGGGGGCCACAGACTCAGGGAAGGGAGACCCTCAAGCACGTCAGCCCCAAAATCTTGGCTCGGGGAAGAGCATCCCGCCTGCCATCCATCGGAAGGCAGCTGTGCCATAATTTTTCCACGGGGTAGAGGGAGGGGCCGGTTAATTCTTGGGGTGCCACTTCAGGCAGTAATGGGGGGGGGAATCCCATTTTTGAGAGCTGCATGCATTCCCAACGTCCTTCAATGCCATCCTCTGTTTCCCAAGGAGACCCCCTAAGCCTCTGGCTTCTCTCCCCCTCTTCAACCCCCCCCTCCTTCCCTCCCTCCGCCTCCCCCCCCCAAAATACCCTTTTTAAAAGCCTTTTTCTGCACCAGATGCTTCGAACATCTGTCACTGCTGTTGTTTGCCTACCGTGAACTGACTCCTTTTGCGCCCGGGGCAGACTCTTCTTTTCTTTTCCTTTTTTAAAAAAAATGTACGTAGATGGCAAAAACAAGAATTACCCACAACGCCCTTCGCATCCGATGTGCTTTATGGGACGGTGGTATGCAGGAAACGCGAGGGCGCCTCTTGGGGGCTTGAGACTTAACAACGGTGGGTGGGAGACGGGGGGGGAGAGAAGAGGGTCTCGACTGTCCTTTTGATGTGGTGTTGAATAAAGGAGCACTTGGTGATCTCGAGTCTTTGGTTCCAAAAAATTGGATTAACAAGAGCTGGAAGGGATCTTGGAGGTCATCTAGTCCAACCCCGTCCAAGCAGGAGACCTTACACCATTTTTCCGACAAATGGCAGTCCAGTCACTTCTTGAAAGCTTCCAGCTTTCAACTTCTGTTCCATGGGTTGATTGTTCTCACTGTCAGAAAATTCCTCCTTATTTCCAGGTTGAATCTCTCCTTGTTCAGTTTCCATCCATTCTTCCTTGTCTGGCCTTCGGGTGCTTTGGAAAATAGCTTGACCCCCTTCCTCCTCTCTGGGGCAGCCCCTCAAATATTGGAAGATGCTCTCCTGTCTCCCCTGGTCCTTCTCTTCGCTAGACCAGCCAGGCCTAGTTCCTGCAACCGTTCATCGTATGTTTCAGCCTCCAGTCCCCTCATCATCCTGGTTGCTCTTCTCTGCACTCTTTCTAGAGTCTCAACATCTTTATTTTATAGTATGGTCACCAAAACTGGATGCAGGATTCTAGATGTGGTCTTACAGCAAAATGAAACCCCGGACGGTAATTATCTTCAAGGCTTCCGCTCTGGTTGTTGTTGTTTTTTTTAATTTATTTATATGCCGCCCTTCTCCGAAGACTCAGGGCGGCTTACAATGCGTTAAGCAATAGCCTTCATACTTTTGTATATTTATACAAAGTTTATTGCCCCCACGGTCTGGGTCCTGTTGATTTGGCAACCCTTCAAAACTCTTTATTTTTGCAATTAAAAAAACGAAGGCCATTAATTCACCCTCTTTGGGATGGTGGTCCTTCCACCATCGCCTCCAATCGGAGATTTGATTTGCCTTTATTTTTAACCGCACAGCAGCCTCCGCTAAAGAATACCCCGTTTATTTAAATTTCATTATTTCTTGAACCACCCCTCTCGGAAAGCATGGTGCGGTGATGAAGGCGTCAAGCTAGGAGATAGGGGAGTTCTAGTACCATCTTGGGCACAAAGCCAGATGAGTCACCTTGGGCCAGCCTTTTTCTCCTAGCCCTAGGAAGGCGGCAATGGCAAACCGCTTCTGAAAAACCTTGCCGATGCAGGGATTTCTCTAGGCATTCTTCCGAGAATCCGTTCCAATCAACTGAATGGAAAGGGGTGGGGAAAAAACCCATAAAAATTGAGTGAGCCATACTTACTACCTACTTAAACAACCCCAAAATCAAAATAGTTCAGTCATTGGTGCTGAACAAGGGCCCAACCTGGTTGACTTCTTCCCTGGCATTGCGTTTGGTCTCCAAGCTTGGCAACTTTTAAAGATTTGTGGCCTTCAAACTCCCAGAATTTCCCAGCCTGGGTTGCCTTGATGGCTGGGGGATTCTGGGAGTTGAAGTTCCACAAGTCTTAAAAGTTGGAGAGCCCTGGTTTAAGATGAGGAATATGATGACTTGTGAGAGAATTGGCCCATGGTTGAGCCATAGGGCTCCATCAGAAATGGCAAAGCAACTGGTCATCCTCTCCCATTTTGGGGGAAGCTGTCTCTGAGGGGAGGGGGAAGGACACCGTAAAGGCAAGCGGTCACCCCAGCTGGACAACAGCCGAAGGTACACAGCGACAGCCCCCTGGAACCGAAGAGAAAGGCTGCAAAAGCAGCAAAATCCGTATTTTCTGATCCGACAGGTTTTGCCTTCCATGATGGCAGATTGCTCCCTCTCTTCCCTAGAGATGGCCAGGATTCGAACTCGCTTCCTCGCCCGTTCCCCATTGAAAATAGCCATCTGGGGGAATCTCCCAGTCTTAGCACTAGACCTCATACTGCAAAAACCAGATCCGCGACGGGTGAAATTCAGCAGGTTCTGGAGAACCGGCAGCGGAAATTTTGAGTAGTTCGGAGAACCGGCAAATACCACCTCTGGCTGGCCCCAGAGTGGGGTGGGAATGAGGATTTTGCAATATCCGTCCTCAAGTGGGGAGAGAATGGGGAATTTGCAGTATCCTCCCAGGAGTGGGGAGGGAATGGGGATTTTGCAGTATCCTCCCAGGAGTGGGGAGGGAATGGGGATTTGCAGTATCCTCCCAGGAGTGGGGAGGGAAATGGGGATTTTGCAGTATCCTCCCAGGAGTGGGGAGGGAATGGGGATTTTGCAGAATACTCCCAGGAGTGGGGAGGGAATGGGGATTTTGCAGTATCCTTCCCCTGGAGTGGGGAGGGAATAGGGATTTTGCAGTATCCTTCCCCCAGGAGTGGGGAGGGAATGGAGACTTTGCAGTATTCTTCCCCTGCCACACCACGCCCACAGAACCGGTAGTAAAAAAAAATTGAATTCCACCACTGATCCAGGGTCTCGGGTTTTTTTTTCCCCCAAACCCACAGCAGCAAAAGGAAAAACTTGGAGCCCCCTCCCCAAACTTTTTTTTTCTTTTCAAAGAAGGAATCTCCAGAGTTGCAATTTTAAAATAGCAGAACTTTTAAAGGGTTTTTTTTTTCCCCTTCCACAACCTGTTTTTTTTTTTTTTTACAAAACTTAGTGCTTATATATAATATATATATATAATATAAAAACATTTCGTATCGATGCAAAACACTTTTCCCTCCCCCTCCCCACCACAAGCGACAGAGACAAAAGTTCCCACATAGTCACAAAGATTGTTGTCATCGGCAATGTTTTTTTTTTTTTTGGTGGCAAAACTCAAAAAAAAAGGACCTGAACAAGGCCGGCCACGAAATGGACCTAACCAGCCACTTAGGAAAAAAGGGATGGTGAATGGAAGGAAGAAATGAAGGCGACATCATTTTGGGAAGAGAAAAATGCCAAAAATATGGGTGTGCTTGGTTTATACCGTGTTTCTCCCAAAATAAGACCCTGTCTTATATTTATTTAACCCTGAAATAAGCGCTTGGCCTTATTGCCATGCACTCAAAAGCCCGAGTGGGCTTATTATCAGGGGAATGTCTTATTTTGGGGAAAACAGGGTAGATAGCTCCTTTTTTCCTCCTCAAATCAAGCTTTCGGGCTGTTTAAAAACCATTTTTTTCTCATTTGCAAAATTCTACCAGCAGGAGCTCGCTAAATCTAGCGGAGAATTTTCTGCGTCATACTCTATTTAAAAAAAAAAAAAATTAAAATTAAGGAATCCTTTGGGGCAACGGCTGCAAAAACCAGTTCGGATCGCTTTTGCTGCCTCGAGGCGATGCGGAATATCAAAAGCGATTCAGCTTTTGGGTGGCGAGAGCGAACGTACGATTTGGTTTCGTTCCAATTGCAGCAGGCCGGATGAAAATTAGGCACGGGGTTTTTTTTTTTTTTTGCTTGATGACCTCAGGCACCCCTAGGATGCAGGATTGCGGGCGAGAGGGGTTGCAGAAGGTGTAAATTCAGGAAAATCCAGAAGGTCTCTTAGTGAATGACGATTCCTGGTTGAGCTCGCTTCTGCTCAGCAATCCAGTTAAACCAGAGGTTTCCCCAAATCAGCCAGTCACTCTTAATATGCCAAATCTTGATTTCTTTTCCTCTCATCTCCTACCAGTTTGATATATAAAGGAGAATGTTTGTAGCTCAGGGTTAAAATGAGGTTGTGCTCTCTGAGCTTAGGTGTTTTCTTGCAAACGTTTCATGACCTTGTAGCAAGCAAACCCCCCCCCCTTCCTTTCTAACACTGATGAAGTTACCTAGTTGGGTCGTGAAAACGCCTGCAAGAAAACCACCAAGCTGAAGAGAGCGCCAAGAACCCTTCCATTTGATCCCTACTTAACTTCTTTCTGAAGCCCCGTTTCCTGAAAGACCCTCCTTGCTGGCGCATTAAAAGTCAAACAATTTGGGTGCAGCCTAGGGCGGTAACGGAGGGGGGCACTGCACGGGGTGCTTGCACGTGGGGGGCACCAGGTGCCAAAAAAGGGAGCACTTCGCACCCGTGCACGCTTGTCAGGGCCGCAACCAGGAAGAGCTGCCCAGGGAGCATGCACACACCGTATATGGTACTTCCGGTTTCCAGCACATGCATGGACACCAGCCAGCAAGTCTTCCCGTTACCGCCGTGCACACCGATCAGCTGGCCGGCGCACATGCTCAGGCCGGAAAATGGAAGCCCAGCTCTGCCGCACGCACAAAGGCCAGCTGATCGTCATGTGCGCATGCGCACCAGAAACCCGGAAGAGGTACGGACGCCGCCGCCTGTGCTAGGCGACGTGGTTCCGTGTGCCACTTCGGGCACGCTTGCCATAGGTTCACCATCACGGGCCTAGGGGATCCTCCGGGAAACCCCACCCACTCTCCTCCTTTCTCGACCAGCAGACGTCCATCTCCCATCGCTTAGCCGTGATTTATATCTACCGTTCGCAATTGCGCCCCTCTTCCTTGAGAAGGTCTGCAGCAGGGGTGAAATGCTCCCGGTTCGGACCAGATCGCCCGATCCGGTAGCAATGGTGGCGCGTGGTTCGGAGAACCGGTAGCAAAAATCTCTGCCCACCCCAATGCCCAGCTGAGCCGCGCGATCATCAGAGGCTGGTTTTTTTTACTTTTAAAAGCATTTTTTCTACAACCTCTTCAGCTGAAAAAATGCTTTTAAAAAAAAGCCTCTGATGATGGCACGGCTCAGCTGGGATCGTCAGAGACTTTTAAAAGCATTTTTTCTACGACCTCTTCAGCCGAAAAAATGCTTTTAAAAGTAAAAAAAAAAAAAAAAAAAAGTTGGCCATGCCCACCCAGTCACATTACCTCCCACCACCACCAAGCCACGCCCACAGAACCGGTAGTAACAAATTTTACATTTCACCCCTAGTCTGCACCCACCTACTCGCTGCAGAAGGAAAAACCCAGTGCTCGGATGGAAGTCCTCCTAACCATTTAACTACAGGGAAACAGGCCCCTGGAATCCAGGAGAATGGAAGTGCCAACATTTGTAGAAGAGCAAAACCATCTACCAGACTTGGTGGTGGTGGCTGTTATTTTTTTCTGGACTGCATTCGTTGGGATCAGGGGTGGTATCCGCTTACTTTCCCGACCAGTTCGCAAATGTGAGTGCGTCGCATGCATGCGCGTGCATGCATGTGCCCCCTCCATGCATGCATCCGGCCTTCCTTGCATGTGGTTTGCTAGCATGCACGTCTTCCGTGCCTGCACCCAGCCTCAAAAACATGCCTAAATAGGATGGCATAGAGCCGGGGCAGGCGGGCTGGCCTACCCGCGATTTCTGTTACCGGTTCCGGTGAACCGGTCCAAACCGGCTGAATACCACCGGGATATTTAAAGAGGCCGGTTTTTTAAAAAAAATTTCTGTTGTTTTTGTGTACCTGAAAAACATCACAGCTTAAACTGTCCTTCTGCTTCCTTCTGTGCTGAACTGCTGCAATATAATACCGTTGCAAACTGGTAGTAAAGGTAAGTAGAACCCACCCGATATATATATATATTAGCCATACCCTTACTTGGGTTTGAACTTGGGCTGCCTGCATATTAGGCAGTTGTATTAACCTCTGAGCCACAAGTTCTCCTCCCTTTATCAGCTTGAGCCAGGGGAGAGATGAAGTGTTTTTCTATCGAAGCACCTGGTCTACCCCAATATGTGGGAGGGAGCATCCTGCTTCCCTTTCGCCTTTCAGCTCCAATCCAGGAGCCCTCAAGCAGTCGCATTCACAACAAACCATTTTATACCAAATTTATATTTCGCTGATAAAGAAATAAAGGGAGGCTAGTATAGATCTATTTCAAGCTGTTTAGCTCTCATCAGCTAGCCATACATACTTACAGCTGCCTAATATGCAGGCAGTCCATGTTCGAATCCGAGTAAGGCTATGGCTAGCTGATGAGAGCTAAACAGCTTGAAATAGATCTATACTAGCCTCCCTTTATTTCTTTATCAGCAAATATAAATTTGGTATAAAATGGTTTGTCGTGAATGCGACTGCTTGAAGACTCCTGGATTGGAGCTGAAAGGCGAAAGGGATGCAGGATGCTCCCTCCCACATATTGGGGTAGACTTTGACAGAATGACATTTTATATATCTATATATATATATATATATATATATATATATATTGGAAAAATTACATTCTTCATGGAAGAAACCATGTGAACTATCCCCCTTCTCTGCCTGGCATGGTAACTAAACACAAAATCCACTGATTTATCTTGTGATGTGTCAACTCCTTCTACGTGTGCTTTTAAGTGCAACTCCAAGAGAAAACTGCAAACTCGGCTCAATTTTTTTTCTCCGGGATTTTCCTTAAGTGACGCCACCTAAGCCCAGGGCCTCCCCCACCCACCCCCACCCCCCACCGATTCTGGGGTGCAGTACAGTCGCCATTATTCAGCTTTGGGGGTGGGGGGCGCAGGAGAAACAGAGTTTATCATTTCCTGGGAGGATTTCATCCGGTACGGTAGGCTTTGGAATAAAAAGGCCTTGCTTATTGCACGGTGTTACTGTCGCAAAACCGAAAGCTTGCTTATTTCAAAATAAGCACCGTCCACTCCGCAGTGCCTTGTGCTAATAATTATCCCTCCAATGTCCCAACGCCAGTTCCGCTTCCCACTGCAGGCCGGCCAACGTTTTCCTCCGCGCCTTCTTCCCCACCTCTTCTCCCTCTTCCTTTCTAACGCTTTGCCATGAAGACATTCCCGAGGCAGGAAGCGGAAAAATAAAACGATTCCAGAGGAAATTCCTTGTTGGGTTTTGTGGCATGCAACTTCCCCATTTTTTTTTCTTTTTCTTTTTTAAAAAAAAGGAAAATCGAAAAAGGCGGAAGGGCCCGTCCGCACCAGGCTCCACGCCACCTGGGTTCCAGGTAAGGGTTCTTACGCCCCACCTTGCTTACAACAGCTGCTTTCTAACCCTGAGCGACAACTCTGGTAAGGCAAGGAGGTTTTAGGTCTCCTGCGTGAGCTGGGGGTTGGGCTAGATGACCTCCCAAGTTCCTTCCAACTCTGTTACCGTTTTCCCAAACTGGTTGGCCACCGAAGCTTGTCACGGCCTGCGGATCTGCCACGGGCTGGCATGTACCTCTAAATACCGCAATGCAAGAGTTCGAAAAAATAAAAACGAAACCAAAATCTACCAGCCTTATTAAGTGCCTTCCTGAAGCAACGTCGCGGGAGAAGGAGTGCCATGCGTGAAAGTTTTAGCGGCTCGCAAGACTATTTTTCCCCCCCAACAGTTACAGTTTCAAGATAAGTCCATCTCTTGTTTTCGATTCCATTTTTTTTTCCCGTTTGGTTTGGTTGTTTTTTTTTTTCCCAGCTCTCAATGTACCATAAGCTCCTGGCGCCCCAAGTTTTCCAACTCAAAATCTCTGCAGCCCAGAGGCCCAGGGAGAGAAGAAAAATATATATATATTGTTGCTTCTGGAACACAACATGCAATTAAACAAATTCTCTGGACAAGAAGGAAAAGAATATTTGGGGGCCTCCGCAAGCGTTGGTTCCAGTCGCAGCTCTCCGAGAAACATTTCGACCTTCTCTGCTGTCCGCAGCAGAAGACGCACGAGGAAAGTAGAAACCTTCTCATTCACCGTTTTCCCAATTGTTCCGCAGCCAATTCGGCTAAACCGCACACACCGAGCGTTTGTAACCCAAGGCCATTTTCCCTGCCTCTTCCACGTTGGCCTTAACATCCTGAGTTTCGGAATCGAGGCCTGCAACGGCCGCCTTTGGACCCGGCGCCCTGCCGCGCCTGGCGACTCGCACGTTTTCACCGTAAGCTTCGAGGATTGTCTGTTTCTCCAGCTCAGTGTATTCCAGAGAGAACCGATGCACTTGGAAGATGTGACGTTTGATGGTGCTGACTTTGAGGGTGGCCAGTGTACCCCCGCAGACCATGCAGATCAAACCGTGTTTCTGCTCGTCGTAGTCCATCAGGAATTGCACCCGCCAGCGGGGCTGGTAGTTTCGGCGCTGACTCCGCCGAGATAGGGTCCCAGCTGGCGTGGAGGAGGCAGCCGCTGGAGACGGCTGGGGCAGGGCCAGCCTGTCTGCTCCGGGGGTGTCTTCCTCCCTCTTAGGGGTGGCCCAATCCTCCGGAGAATCCTCTGGAGATGCAGGTGGCTTGTAAACACGTCGCGATTCGGCTGGAAAGCGAGAACAAAAGACAATGGCGAGCTTGTTAGGGATAATTGTGTTTTTATTGCCAAGGGACAGACGCTAGGACTCCTCCCTGATTATCCCCTGTTCAGCTTGGAGCAGTGTTGCTCAACTTATCCAATTTTAAGGGGTCTTAAGACTTCAACTCCCAGAATTAAGATGGGTGGACTTCAACTCCCAGAATCCCCCAACCAGCTGCTTTAAGATGAATGGTCTTTCAATTGCGTCCCTTTCTGGACCAGGACTCCTTGCGCACAGTCACTCATGCCCTCGTCACCTCCCGTCTGGACGACTGTAACGCTCTCTACATGGGGCTCCCCTTGAAGAGCACCCGAAGGCTCTAGCTGGTCCAGAATGCAGCCGCGCGGGTGATTATGGGAGCGACTCGACGCTCCCATATAACATCGCTCCTGCGCGAGCTGCACTGGCTCCCGGTGTTGGTTGCCATCTTTAAAGCGCTCCATGGCTTAGGACCCGGGTATTTACGAGACCGCCTTCTGCCACCGATAGCCTCCCATTGACCAGTATGCTCCCACAGAGAGGAATTCCTCAGGGTGCCGTCGGTCAAACAATGTCGACTGGCGACCCCCAGGGGGAGAGCCTTCTCTGTGGGGGCATCTGCCCTCTGGAATGAGCTGCCCCCGGAGATTCGTAGGATCCCCAACCTTCGCACCTTTCGCCGCGCCCTCAAAACGCTATTGTTTCACCAAGCAGGGCTGGCCTAAATGCTATTTTAATGGGTGGTTTCTAATTTTAGCTCTTTCGGCCAAATTATTTCATATTTTTAAATTGTCTTTTAACTTTCATATAGTTGTGAGTTTTATTTTTGGCTGTACACCGCCCTGAGTCCTTTGGGAGAAGGGCGGTAGAAAAATTTAATAAAAGAAAGAAAGAAAGAAAGAATAAAAATAACTCCCAGAATTAAGATGAGTGGACTTCAACTCCCAGAATTCCCCAGCCAGCTGCTTCAAGATGGATGGACTTCAATTCCCAGAATCCCCCAGCCAGCTGCTTCAAAATGGATGGACTTCAATTCCTAGAATCCCCCAGCCAGCTGCTTCAAGATGGATGGACTTCAATTCCCAGAATCCTCCAACCAGCTGCTTCAAGATGGATAGACTTCAATTCCCAGAATCCTCCAACCAGCTGCTTCAAGATGGATAGACTTCAATTCCCAGAATCCCCCATCCACCTATAACCCATGCTGACTGGGGAATCCTGAAGTCCTCAAATTTTAAAGTTTACCACAGTTGAGAAATACTACCTTAAGACAGTCATGGTGCCTCACTTTTCCAATAATAATCATAATCATAATCATAATCATAATCATAATCATCATCTATACACCAGCCAGGGCAGTTCCAGCTTCCTCATGACACCGGTGCAGCACCCACATACAGACGTCCCTCACCTTGGTCTACCTCCGCATCCGTTTCCGGCGGGGAGTCGTCGGCGTCCGTCAGTCGTGCCACTTTCCGGTTCCACTCCTGCACGATGAGAGCTTTGACCTGGTGGCTAAGTTGCGTGGAGTCGGGGTGCTTCTGCTGGATGTGCCTCTTGATGGTGCTCATTTTGAGCGTGGCCAGGGTGCTCCCACAAACCATGCACACCAGCCCGTGGCGCACCCCGTTGTAGTCCATTAAGTACTCCACCCTCCAGTGTTCCTGGAAGTACCGCCGGTGGTCTCGGCCACGGGCCGCAACGCGAGGGCTGCTCCCTTCCGAGTCCCAGGGGCCGGCCTCGTCCGTCCCTTCCTCTGCCATGGGGCGATCAGGGGAAGCCGAAGAATCCAGCTCCTTCGTGCTCAGATCCTGCCGGGCAGACATGTCGGTTTCTGGATGAGCGACGAGAAACAGAAAAAGAATGAATTTCATTCCCGCTCCCTGCTCAGGTCTGCCTTCAGGGGTGGGCTGCTGGGGGTTCGCTAAGATTCTGTGCGGTTCGGAGAACCCCCAAATTCCACTCCTGGCTGGCCCCGCCCACCCCGCCCCTTCCCGGAGTCCCCACGCGGCCCATTTGGGATGCAGGTAAGTGCAAAGCGTGCGGAGAGGCTCAGGGAGGGTGAAAAACAGGCCTACCGGAAGTTCGGGAAGGCCGGAAATGGGCTTGTTTGTAGCCTCCAGAGGGCCTCTGGTGCCTGGGGAGGCCGTTTTCGCCCTCCCGGAGGCTCAAAGAAAGCTTCCGGAGCCCAGGGAGGGCAAAAAAACCCCCCACACACCCCACCCCGCCATGGTGCAGGAGGCTGACTAGGCCATGCCCACCATGGCCATGCCCACCCAGCAAACAGGCAGGGAACCCTTTGCTAAAATTTCTGAAGCCCACCCCTGCCTGCCTTCCCTGATTAGAAACATCCTGCCATTTTCCACAATGAAAGAACATTCTTAGCATCTCCGCCAAGTGGCTGTTGCTTAACCTAACTGGCCCGATTATCAATCGTACACGCCTCTCCGCTTCTCTCCGTCGCATCTTATGTAGACAGTCCTCGACTTACGACAGTCTGTTTAGTGACCGAAGTTACAACCACACTGAAGAAAAGCGACTTAGGGCCCCTTTTCACACTTACGACCATGGCAGTTATCCCCATGGCCACGCGCTCAAAATTCAGACGCTTGCAGTATCCCGAGGTCCCAGGATCCCCCTTTTGTGACCGTCTCACCAGCGACGTCCAGGGGGAAGCCAGGTTCAATTTAATTAACTGTGTGACTGACAACTGCTGAACCACCGTGGTGAAAAAGGTCATAAAATGGGGGCAAAACTCACTTCACAAATGTCTCGTTTAACAACAGAAATTCTGGGGGTCAAATTGGGGGCCGTAAGTTGAGGACTAATAAAATCAAGGACCGGTTACCTTGAGTTTCTTTCTCACCCATTCCCAGTAAATCTTTTTTAGGCGCCCCGTCTTGCCCATTGGCTCATTCCTTCGCTATCCCCGAGGTCCACATGCCTCCCCATGCAACTCAGCACAACAGGTGAATTCAGACATGTAAGGGCCCACGCAAAATAGTTGCGCCTTTTAATTTTAAAACTGATCTTAAAGGGCTTTGTGCAAAAAACGTAGGGGGCTTCAATTTCAATTCAGAATAGAGGTGGACGAGACCTTGGAGGTCTTCTATAGTCCAACCTTGGCTCAAGGAGACCCTATAGCCGCGATGACGAACCTATGGCATGCGTGCCCGAAGTGGCACGCGGGGCCATGTTGTCTGGCACGCACGGCGTCGCCCGTTCCTCTTTTGGGTTTCTGGCGCGCATGTGCGCACCACGATCGGCTGGTCTTTTTGCACTTGGAAGAACTGGTCTTCTGTTGTGAGCATGCGCGCTGGCCAGCTAATCGTTGCACCCACATGCGCGCTAGAAACCTGGAAGAGTAGCTGGCTGAAACCGGAAGTTCAGTAGCTGAAACCGGAAGTTCAGTAGCTGAAACCGGAAGTTCAGTAGCTGAAACAGGAAGTTCAGTAGCTGAAACAGGAAGTTCAGTAGCTGGAACCGGAAGTTCAGTAGCTGAAACAGGAAGTTCAGTAGCTGAAACAGGAAGTTCAGTAGCTGAAACAGGAAGTTCAGTAGCTGAAACAGGAAGTTCAGTAGCTGGAACCGGAAGTTTATTTTTGGGCACGCGCATACACCCTGGACAGCTCCTCTTCCAGGCTGCGGCCTAGATGTGCATGCACATGAAGCACGAGCGCACAGGTGCTCCCTTTTCGGCACTGGGTGCCAAAAAGGTTCGCCATCACTGCCCTATAGCATCCCAGTCAATCTCTTCTGGAAAACCTCCAGCAATGGAGCATCCACAACTTCTGGTGGCAAGTTGTTCCATGGGTTAATTGTTCTCCCTGTCAGGAAGTTTCTCCTTAGTTCTAAGTTGCTTCTCTCCTTGATTCGTTTCCACCCATTGCTTCTTGTCCTGCCCTCAAGTGCTTGACTCCCTCTTCTTTGGGGCAGCCCCTCAAATACCGGAAGGCTGTTATCATGTCACCCCCTCGTCCAGAGTGGATTCTTCTTCCCTCTCCCCCTCTCTTCTTTCTCACCTGCGTCCTCTGCGTTTCTCCCCTCGGCTCCCAGCACCAACTCTCGAGAGTTCCAGGCCTCCAAGATAGCCCCCTTCTCGGCAGGGCTGAAGCCGAGAGAAGTGGGGTGCGCCTCCATCACGTGACGTTTGATGTCGTCCAGGTTCAAACTGGGCAGGGAGGAGCCGCACATCATACAGAAGAGACGGTTGCCCTGGGGGTCGTAATCCATCAGGAATTCGGACTGGAACCAGCTCTGCAACGATTGCTTCAGATACTGCTCCAGGCTCTGGGATTCGCCCTCCGAGGAAGATTTCAGGGTGAGGCCGGAGGGCCGGCGTCCACCACGAGAGGGAAGAGGAGCCGGCCCACGGCATCTCCGGCGGCCTCCGTCCAGGGAGAGCTCTGCTGTGTGGAATAAGACAAGTAAGTATGTATGGTTTGCCCATTGCATAGTGGCACAAACTCCAGAGGGTCAACGTCATTGCCCAGAGGATCATGGGTTGCCCCTTCCCCTCTTTGGAAGAGCTTGATAGCTCCCGCTGCCTTAAGAAAGTTCAAAACATCCTTAAAGATACATCTTATCCTGGGCACCTTTTTTTTTTTTTTGAACTATTACCATCTGGCAGACGGTACAGGGCAATCAAAACAAGGACAAATAGGCTGAAAAGCAGCTTCAATAACCATACTGAATTCTACGGTATAGTGCAATATATATGCAATATCGGGTTTTCAATTTCAATTATATAGAATGTAAAGGAGGTATTTTATAGTTATAATGTACACTGAAGGCGGCATTTAATTTCGTTGCACCCTGTGCAATGACAATAAACTAAATTAAACTAAACAAATCTCTCTTTTTTTTTCATTCTCCAACAGGCCAGCAAGATCCCAGTTTTAAAGCACGGTCGTTGAAAATCAGAATTTAAGATTGTTGGGTTTTTTTTTTTAGAAAAAGAAACAGAGCTGGAGCGGCTGGGAGTGAAATGGGAAGGGCTGAAACCCCCCTTGTTGGCTGGGGTTTGAACCACTTAGAACAGGGGTCTCCAACCTTTAAATAACTTTAAGACTTGTAGACTTCAACACTCAAAGTTTGCTGGCTGAGGAATTCTGGGAGTTGAAGTCCACAAGTTTTAAAGTTGCCAAGGTTGGAGATTCCTGACTTAGAAGGAAACGAAGGAAGAGTTAGATCAGAACCGGCCGGACAGGTTATAGAGTTATATTTGTTTTCAATTTTTTTCCTAACTTAGAACCTTCCTTGAACTCTTTAAGGGCACAACTTTTGTCTTCATTTTTTTAAAAAGAATCCCGTTGTTTCGATATTTGTTTTTGAATATGCTGCCAAATATTCAGTATCAGCCTTTAAATACTGAAATGGGTAGGAAAATAAAAAGAAAAATATTCTGCCATCTCAACTGTTCAGAGCAAATCTGGAAATCCAGGTTCCGCCCCCCCCGCCCCCCTTTTTACAAGTTACCGTTTCAGTCATACAACCATCGCTTGAAAAGGTGGCCGACACTTTTAAATGAATTAAAATAAAAGAATGGGACGTCAGGAAGACAGCTTGTTCAAGAAACCATGGACTGTCTGTCTGCCTGTGTATAATTTAGATAGCTATATGATAGAGGGAGAGGGGCAGGGAGGGAGGGGGAGATGTTAGATGATAGAATGATGGGATGGATGGATGGAGAGAGAGAAAATAGAAAAAGAGAGAGAGACAAACACAGACAGACAGCAGACAAGAAATAGGAGATATAGATAGGAGATAGAGAGATGAAAGAGAGATGATAGCTAGAGAGAGAGAGTGGATGGATGGATGGATGGATGGAGATAGATAGGTAGATAGATAGATACAGATACAGATGAGACAGATAGATGATAGAGATAGATGATAGATAGATACAGATAGATAGATAGATAGATAGATAGATAGATAGATAGATAGATAGATAGATAGATGGATAGATGGATAGATACAGATAGAGATGATATAGATAGATAGATACAGATAGAGATGATAGATGATAAATATAGATAGATAGATGATAGATAGATAGATAGATAGATAGATAGATAGATAGATAGATGATAGATAGATATAGATGAAAGAGAGATATAGATAGGTAGAGAGAGAGATGAGAGGATGAATGGATGGATGGAGATAGATAGATGATAGATAGATACAGATAGATAGACAGATACATAGATAGATAGATACATAGATAGATACAGATAGAGATGATAGATGATAAATAGATTAGATAGATAGATAGATAGATAGATAGATAGATAGATAGATAGATAGATAGATAGATAGATAGATATAAATAGGTAGAGAGAGAGATGAGAGGATGAATGGATGGAGATAGATAGATGATAGATAGATAGAGCATACGGCTATATCTGGCAACTGTCAGACGGCCCTGGCTCCCTCTCTGCCTCCGACGAAGAGCTCTCGTCAGAGCCTTCCCCAGACTCCAGGTTCCTCCCCAACCTCCTCACTGTCCGAATCTGCTGCCAGATCCTCTGGGGGGCCACACCACACCACCCACCTGAATTTAGAATCCTGTCCCGAAAGACGCCCAGCCTACCGTGATCCACCGTGGGCGCACCGGATCCTTTGGCAGACTCGCGTGCCCCCTCCGCCTCCATCTCCAGGCCCAGGTGTGCATCCCAACTGTTCATGATGACCTCCTTCTCCTGGGCGCTCCAGGTAAGGGAGTAGGCGTGCTTTTGCCGGATGTGCCTTTTGATGGTACTCAGCTTGAGCGTGGCCAGCGAGCTCCCGCAAACCATGCAGATCATGCCATGCCGGGCCGCGTTGAAATCCATCAGGTATTCGGCCCGCCAGTGCTCATGGTAATACCGCCGGTGATCCCGCCCGGGAATCCGGCTTTTGCCAGGCCTGGAAGCACGGGCTTCGCAATGGTCCGAGTATTTGCGTCCTCCGGCCAAGAGGGACATGGGGTCCTTTTTGGTAATCCCTCGTAGCAAACCGTTCCCGGCGGGACGCAAGTGACATCCGGAGCTTGATTCGCCGCTATGTTGGGAATCTGGACACGTGGAATCTCCTGGTGAGATAAACGATACAAAGGTTTTACTCAGTTTTACTCGCTCCGTTAACAGGTCGTCTGGTCGACCAGAATTGGGAGCAGAATTCCCGTTGTTAAGCAAGGCCGTTGCTAAGGGAGCCGTGCCTGATTTTGTCACCTTTTTTTGGCCACGGTTCGGCGCGTCACGGCAGTCGTTCCAACGAATCTCAATTTTGCAAATCTAGTTTCCCCCACTGAGTTTTGCTTGTCAGAAGGAAACCGGCTGGGAGAGAGTATAGATTGCTACAGATCAGTGATGGCTAACCTTTTTGCCATCGCGTGCCAGGAGCGTGAGGAGGTGGGTTGCACGTGTGCCCACACCCATAATCCTATGCGCCCCGCCCCCACGCATCCGCGCACGACCCACGTTTCCCCCACTCCTGGCACGCGATGGCCCAGTGTGCCCATTTTTCTCTCTCCCCAGGCTCCAGAGCCTTTCTAGGAGCCTGGGGAGGGCGAAAACAACCTTCCCCACCCCCCCCCGGAGGCTGAAAACGGCCCATTTGTCAACTTCTGGTGGGACCAGAAGGCCCATTTCTTGCTCTCCCCAGGCTCCAGCACCTTTCTAGGAGTTTGGGGAGGGTGAAAACGGCCTTCTCCACCCCCTGGAGGCTGAAACTTTTGGTGGGCCCAGAAGGCCCGAAAATCAGCTGCTCACGTGTCCACCAATATGGCTACCATAGGGTCGCCATCACAGCTATAGATTAACAGAGTTGGAAGGGGCCTTGTAGGTCATTTAGTCCAACCCCCCGGCCTAGCAGGAGACCCTACACCATTTCTGAGAGATGGCAGTCCAGTCTCTTCATCCAGGGATGAAGCTCCCACAACTTCTGAAGGCAACTTCTGCTCCACTGGTTGATTGTTTAGCAAATGTCTCCTTATTTCCAAGTTGAATCTCTCGGTCAGTTTTCATCCATTCTTCCTTGTCTGGCCTTTGGGTGCTTTGGAAAATAGCTGGACCCCCTTCCTCCTCTCTGGGGCAGCCCCTCAAATATTGGAAGATGCTCTCCTGTCTCCCCTGGTCCTTCTCTTCACTAGACTAGCCATGTTGATCATAGGACCCCAGGATGTTCGGCGGTAAAGACATCCTGGTTGCCAGATGCCCAAACTTTCATCACCTGGTTTACCAGGTGATTTGGTGACTGTGGGGATGCGGTCGTAAAGGGAAGAACTGATAGTTAAGCCACTGCTTTCACTGCCACTGTGACTCGTCCATTGGGTCGTAAGTCGAGGACTACCTTCAATAATCATCCATTCTTTACAGAGGAAGGGAGAAGTCCGGAGGAGCCAAAGGAGGAGGGGCCTTTGCCAGGATAACCAACCCCCCCATCCCCTTCCCCAAATATCTCCCCTCCCCCTCCTTTCCAATGCTTCTTGGCCCCAAGACTTATTTCCAAGGCCAAGCTGTGGCCCAGAGAATGAGTCAGTGACTTTGTGGCGTGGGGGGGGGGTGTGGGTGTGTCTCCCAGTTGGCCACCTTCAGAGTGAGTTGGAAGGGTCCTCGGAGGTCATCCAGTCCAACCCCCTCATCGCGCAGGAGGCCTGGCACTAGGGATTCGAACCCCCGAACTGCTCGAGACCTTTTCTGATCGACAAAGCCCAAGCGTCTTAGCCACCGAGCCACTTTTGTTGTTTGTTGTGTTTCTGGGTGGGCGGGCGGGCGTCTCTCCCCTTGGACCTCTTCGGAGTGGAGTGTGTGTTTTTGTGTTGGTTGTGTGGGTGGATCTCTTCTCCCGGCGTTGGTGGGTTGTCTCTCTCCCCCAGTGGACACATCTCCACGCCGTTTGCGTGTCTTCGTTGTGCGGTTGGACTTCTCTCCCAGGGTTTGTTTGCCGGGTGTGTATCTCTCCCAGGGGACATCTTCCGAGTGAGTGAGGTTGTGTATTTGTGTCCCAGAGGACACGTTTCGAGGGATTGAGATTGTGTGTCCGTGTGCCTCTGTGTGTGTATGTCCTAGGTGGCTCAGTGGCTAAGACCTCCTCGATCAGAAAAATCGGCCATTCAGGCGGTTCGAATCCCTATAGTCCAGGTCTCCTGTGTGAGCACGGGGTTGGACTAGATGACCTCCAAGGTCCCTTCCAACTCTCTTACTCTTCCATCTCCCTCCAAAGTTGAAGGAGCCTTCCTTCTTTTAGAAGACAACAATCAAACCAGGGGATGACACGTGAGCCCACCTACCCACTGAAGGAGGCAACTCGCCCCACAGCCCCAAGGGGCAGAATTGATGCTCAACCCCAAAGGCTCCTGCCCCAGAATCCTCCTGCCTGCCCCCCCCCACTCCCTAAACATCTGGCCCCCAAATTGGCCAAACCCTGCATTTTGACAGCCCAGGAAGACCAACCCGAAAAGGGGCTGCGGGCACAACTCCGAAAGTTTGTGCAAAATCCAGAGCTGGGGCAGAAAAGCAGGAGGGTGGAGGGGGGGCTTCCCTCCTTCCAGAGGGTCCAAGGAGGAGGAAGGGGTCCTCCATGCACCAGATTAACACTCTCCCCCCCCCCAAATAGCCAAGACGGATTCTTGGGGGGCGGGGAGGAAGAGGATGCAACTTAAGTGGCTTCTTCTTGTTGTGTCTCACTGCCCTCTTTTCTCTCCCTCTCCTCATCCCCTTCTTGGGAAGGGGGCTGCCCCCCCCCTACTTTCCCCTTCCTCCCACCCTCTCCATCCTTTCCCCCCCCCACACTGTTCCCCCTCCTCTTTGCAGTTTGAATGGGGCACCTTTCTTCCAAGGAAGGGGAGGGGGGGTGAAGGGATTAAGTGGGGGGAGGAGAGAGAGAAAGAAGGAGGATATGGGGCAAATGGAGGAGGGGGCCACTTTCTCTGCAAGCAGGGCCAGCAGGTGGCGTGTGGATGGAGAAACTGGGGCGGTGGGGAGGAAGAGGGGGGGCTAGAAAAGGAGAAGAGGGGAGGGGGAGCTTTTTTTTTTTTTTTTTTTAACAAGGGGCCCCCTTTTGTTCCCACCTGAATCCAGGGGTTCCTGTTTGATGGAGAGGTGGGGGGGCTCCATGCCTGCCCCTTCGCTCGCTCCGTCCTCCTCCCCCCCCCTCTTTTTTTAGACATCCATCCCCCCTCCCCTTTGCAACGATCGCTTCCCCCCCCCCCTTCCTCCTCGGTTGCAATTGCATGCAATTCCCCAAAATAATAATAATAATAATAATAAATAATCATGCAATAATTCTGCAATCGATCCGGGCCCGATGATTGCAATCGGGACCCCCCCCCCCCCCCCCCCTCCAGCCACGCTTTGCAAAGCGGGTCCCTCTCTCTGCTCCCACCCCCCACCCCACTTTTTCCTCCCCTCCGCCTGCGGCCCGAGCGAAAGCAAGCAAGCAAGCAAGCAGGCTCCGGCTTAGCCAGGGTGGGGAAACCTTTCCCCCCGGGGCCCCTGGGGCTCCTTTTCAAGGCTCCTGGGTAAATTTAAAGGGGACGCAGACCTATTTCTGCAAGCTGGGGTGGGGGTGGGGGTGGGGGGGCGCGGAGAGAGAGGACGGGGGGGGGAGGAAGAAATCCAATAAGAACCATCATCATCATCATCGTGTTGATTTTATTTGCACGCTCGAGGAACCCTCCTGCCCTTGACAAATCGTGCACGCGTGTGCATTGTTATATTTTGCACGCGAGAGATTGTGCTAATTTTGCACGCTGGATAGATAGATAGATAGATAGATAGATAGATAGATAGATAGATAGTGCAAATCGGGTTTTCCCGGGGGGCGGGGGGAAGAAAGAAAGAAATAAGGAAGGGAGGAAGAAAGACAGGAGGAAGGAAGAAAGACAGGATGAAGGAAGGAAGGAAGGAAGGAAGACAGGAGGAAGGAAGGAAGGAAGGAAGGAAGAAAGACAGGAGGAAGGAAGGAAGGAAGAAAGACATGAGGAAGGAAGGAAGGAAGAAAGAAAGACAGGAGGAAGGAAGGGAGGAAGGAGGAAGGAAGGAAGAAAGAAAGACAGGAGGAAGAAAGGAAAGAAAGAAAGAAAGAAAGACAGGATGTGTGGCCCCTGCCCCCTTTTCCATGGATAGATAGGTAGGTACCCATTCATTCGTCGCTTTGCAACGGAGAGGGGGATTTAGACCAAAAAAAAAAACAGCAACAGAGTTGGAAGGGACCTTGGAGGTCATCTAGTCTAATCCCCTGCTCACCACGCTAGGGATTCGTTTCTGATGACAAGTTCAGTGTCTTAACCACCTAGCCAGGCACACACCTGTGTACTACCCACCAGACGCCTGCACACACGTTCAGACCTGTGCCCAAAACCCTCAAAAGGAGGAGTCTCTCTCTCGGGAGAGAGAGAGAGAGAGACCCAGCGCGGATCAAGAGCCATCTCCAACGATAGGGGGACTACAAGGCCCATCATCCTCCCCATGGATGCACAGTCACCAGGGGAAGCTGATGGCCCCCCTATTGCAAGTCCAGGAAGGGTGAAGAGGGATGGAGGGAGGTTGCTGGGACACACACCCCCCCGCCCACCCAGCAGCCCAAGCTCCCGCCTCCCGGGGGGGGGGGGCCACATGTACTGGGGGACACAGAAGAGGGGGCTCATTAATGTCCCCGTCAAGGAGCTGGAGCAGAGGTGGAGCTCTTGCCTGACAATCAGGAGGTTGTGAGTTCGATCCTAGATAGAGGCAGGGGGTTGGACTAGATGACCTGCAAGGTCCCTTCCAACTTTTATTTGTTAAATCTCTGCTGCAAAGATGAAGTTGCTTTCATCTTTCGATGGCTAGGCAAATTCCACCGCTTTGCAGCTGTCAAAACAACAGGAGCCAAAGTTGGGAAAGAGGCGGGGGGGGGGAGGGACCCCTCTTGATCCACCCCCTTCCCCAGAATTAACTTTGGCCCCATTGATACAGCTGGGAGGAAGCTGGCTCATCGTGCATGGAAATAAAATGCAGAACGATTGGGGGGGGGCAGAACCTCCCTGTCCAGGAGCAGTCTACCTGCAAACTTGGAAGCAGGTAGAAACGGGAGAAGTTTGCTTTCTATACGACCTTGCATTGTGGTGGTGGTGGTGGTGTTTTTATCTCTCCCCTTGTCCCCCTCTCCCCAGATTGAGGGTCTTCTTCTCTAATAATAATAATAATTTTTAAAAAAAGACTCGAGGTGGGACTTTTGACACACACACCCCCCTCCAATTTCGCTTCTTCTGCTTCTCTTTTGACTGGTTTTTCCCTTGCAGTTCCGCCGCTTTGCCGACAGGTGGCAGCCGACCCTGCCTGTTTGCAAGCCGCTCTCGTCCACGCCCCTCCACCCGGTCCCTTATCGCCGATTGGCCTTGCGCCAGGAAAAAAAAAAAAAAAGCGGCCGCGCGGCTGGCGATTGGCTGGAGCGGGACCAGGCCCCGAACCAAGATCGAAATAGAGCAGCCTTCCTCCTCCTTTGAACTCACGTGACGTCAACACCGGAAATGTCCTGCCTCTCCTCCGGCGCTTCCATGGGGCGGCTACCATAGAGGCGCGGAGAGGGAGTGGGGGCTAGACGGGCACGTGGCACCTCACGCACACACACACACTCTCTCTCTCTCTCCGGAAGTTCCGGCTACCTCTCCCGGGGAGAGGGAAGGCCCTTCGGACAATGGGACCATAGAGCAGCCAAGGGAGCGGGAGTGGTCCGGCCGAGGGAGGGGTGTGTGTGGACGCTCTATGGGGCTGGGAGCCGCCATGCTCTATGATGCGCGGCGGGGGCCGCAGCAGCCGCAGAAGCGCCGAGGAGGCCCAGCAGCTGCGCAACCAGGTGGGAGCTCTCGGGATGGGGGGGGTCTCCAGCCCCCCCTTTTGCCTGCCCCCCCCAACGCCTGGGGGGGGGCAGGGGGAAACCTGGGAAGGCCCTCAGTGTGGGGGAGGGGCTGCTATCTCCCCCTGAGGGGGTGGGGGGTCTTATTGACCCCCCCATGACTCACCTGAGGCAGGGAAGGATTGAAGTAGCCCCCCCCAAATCCCCCCCCAAAAAAGCCTTTTGGGAAAGGGGAGGCTTTTTTAATCCCCTCCCCCCTTAAAAAGCAAAAATTCCCCCCCCCAAAATATGGGGAAGGGGCTGAGGTCTCTTCTGGGCCCCACCCCCACCCCATTTGCAGGTGGGGAGCTTAAAAAGTGCTCCTACATCCCCCTCCCCCCCAAAAAACCCTCCCCAATTTGCTTCTTTGGCCAAAAGAAAAAGGGGGAGGGGGCAAATCACCTGGTTTTTTGGGGGGGCAGAGGGGAAGGGTCTCCCTCCCTCCCTGGTTCCCTTGAGGAGGTGGTCTTTCTCCCACCCCCACCCTCCATTCAAATGCAACCAGGGAGGAAAACTGGGGTGTGGGGGTTGTGGGGGGGCACTCAGATAAAGCAGCTTCCATGGCTTTGGGGTAGTGGTGGTGGGGGCTGCTCATTCCCACGTGGGGAGGGGGATGTGTGTGGGGAAGCCCCCCCCACACCTCTCAGGTGGGTTTTCTGGAAGAGGAGGAGGAGGGCAAAGGGGAGATACTGGAGAAGGGCTTTGAAAAGAAGGGAGGGGGAGGTTGGGGGAGTGGTTTGGGGGGGGGAAAAGGCAAAGGGGGGGGGGGGAAAGCCTGAAGAATATTTGTGGGAGGGGTGGGGTCAAAGAGGGAGGAAGGGGGTGGTCCCATGTTTAGGAGGGTGAGGGAGAAGCTAAGCTGAAAGGGTCCTTGGCCCTTAAAAGCCCCTGAATGGAGCTCAGGAAAATAAGAGAGAATTGGATGTAAATAGATAGATAGATAGATAGATAGATAGATAGATAGATAGATAGATACTGTGTTTTCCCCAAAATAAGATCCTGTCTTATATTTTTTTTGAACCCTGAAATAAGCGCTTGGCCTTATTGCCATGTGCTCAAAAGCCCGTTTGGGCTTATTATCAGGGGGTGTCTTATTTTGGGGGAAACAGGGTATCTGTATCTATATCTATCTATCTATCTATCTATCTATCTATCTATCTATCTATCTAGATAGATAGATAGATAGATAGATAGATAGATAGATAGATAGATAGATAGAAAATATCAGAAAATATATATGTATAATATAAATATGTATATATATATATATATACACATATAGATATACATATATCAGAAAACAAATATGTATATATTTGTTTACATATATATACAAATTATATATATGTATATATATAAAATATATTTGTTGATAAAGAAATAAAGGGAGACTTTGACAGAAAAAACACTTTATATATATCTATATCTATATATACACCCACAGACATACATACACACATACACGCTATCTGGTGGTGTGTGGGTGGGTGTTTTTCGGGGTGGGGGGGCAGGCAGTGAACTTAGTGATTCACTAATTTGGAATGCAAGGGAAAGTAGAAAAACAGGGGCCGAAAAATGGTTGTGTGTGTGTGTGTGTGTAAACAGGTTTTGTCTACTGAGAAAAATGAATTTAAAATAACGTGGGAGATGAGGCTGTGTTTGGAGCAAAAAGGTTTCTTCTTCGGAGACAGAAAGGGAAATTCTTCTGCTTTTATTGACAAAATAAGCTTCCCTTTAGGAATGTTTGTCCTCAAGGGGCGGGCAACTGATTAAATCATCTTTTTCTTTTGTTTTTCCTTCCCCTCTCTGATTTTGCTTAATGTCCTTTGTTTTAGTCTGTGCTGAGTGGTTTCTGGAGCCGAATCTTTCTCATCAAACAATCCAGGGAGGCCTTTGTTGTAGGTAAGAAAATTTAAATTCAGGTGTTTTTGTTAAAAAAGTCTTGGAAAGTGGTGGCACCTGGCTGACCAGGTCTCCGTTCAGAAGCTAATTAGCGACTAGCTTAGTTAGTCAAGCTAGTTAGTGCTTGGTTGGGAGACTTCTTGGTAACTCAAGGATTGTTGGTTAGACTAAATGCTCCTTAGAAGAAAACCAGGACAGGCTATTTCCAAATTTCATTACATATTGTACCAACTTGGACTTGAATTTAGGCCAAAGCATGACAATTTGTGTTGCCATCTAACTAGGATCCGTACGATAGGCACAATATTTTGCATTCCGTTATTTTTAACCTTGCATGGTTAACCTTCGAGGGGAGAATGCTTTTATTTATGCTTTTTTAAAAAAATCCTGCAGATGAAAAACAATGATTAGAAATGGAACTTTATAATTATTCTTTTTTTACTTTTTATTTTTTTTAAAAAAAATTGGATTCCCCAAGAAAAGCAGGGATATAATTGGCTTCAAACAGAATATCAGCAAATAGCCTCTTAGCTAAGGCTCAAAATGGACGAAAAGTCAAAAATAACAACAAAAAAGAGCTGCTTTCAACATGTAAAAAAGAAGAAAAAAGTCAAGAAAACGATAGTAATGGGAGAAAGTGGCAAGAAGGTGACAAGCAAAGTGAGAAAGCAGAACTGCTTAATTTCTTCTCTCTTTTTTTTTTTTTGCATCCGTCTTTACCCAGAAGGGAAAAAATGTGCAACCAATCAAAAAACAGCACCTTAAAAAGCAGATTAGGAATACAAGTACCTTAAAGAAAGCTAAAAGAAGAGGTGTGGATGGTTTGTGAGTTGTGTTAACCCAGTTAGGTCTTCCCGGATTGGGTAGATGATAGATCCTACTTTCAGATCATCATCTTTCTCTTTAACGACCCCATAATCCCTTGCGGGGTGGAGTCTGGGCAACTGAATGGAGCTAGAACAATGTTTACTGGCCAGATGCCCTTCCTGTCGCCAGGGCGGAGTTTTGATCAGCAGATATATATATATATATATTCTCATGGTGCCCAGAAGAGAGAAATACCTGCCTTTTCCTAGGATCGAACTCGCAAGCCTCCTGATTGTGAGGCCAGAGCTCCACCTCTAGGCCACCGCACCCAAGATCCTACTTTCAGATGACCCTGTAAAAATGGTTTCTTTGTTTGGAGCGTGACATCTTGGAGGAACACTGTAACTGTGGTTTAGATTTAGTGGGTTGTGAGCACAGTTGATATTTTTGAACTTGTTCTCTTTCTTTCTTTCTCTCTCTCTCTCTCTCTCTCTCTCTCTCTCTCTCTCTCTCTCTCTTTCTCTTTCCCTCTTTCATTCTTTCTTTCTTTCTTGTTTTCTCTCTTGCTCTTTTTCTCTTTTTCTCTCCCCCCCATTTCTCTTTCTTTCTTCCCCCTTTTTCTTTCTCTTTCTTTCTCTCTTCCTCTTTCTTTCCCTCTCTTTCTTGTTTTGTCTCTCTTGCTCTCTCTTTCTTTCTCTTTCCCTCTTTCATTCTTTCTTGTTTTCTCTCTCTTGCTCTTTTTCTCTCTTCCCCCTTTTTCTTTCACTCTCTCTCTTTCCCTCTCTTTCTTTCCCTCTCTTTCTCTCTCTTGCTCTTTCTCCCTCCCTCTCTTTCTTTCTTTCCCTCTTTCTTTCATTCTTTCTTGCTTTCTTTCGCTCTCTCTTGCACTTTCTCTTGCTCTTTTTCTCTTTCTCTTTCCCCTTTCTCTCTTTCTCTTGCTTGTTTTCTCTCTCTCTTTCTCTCCCCCCATTTCTCTCTCTCTCTCTTCCCCCTTTTTCTCTTTCTTTCTTTCTCTCCCTCTCTTTCTCTCCTTCCCTCTCTCTCTCTCCAGTTTCCATTCTAGTTAACAGCACTGCCCTCGCATTCCTTCCGAACCTCTTACATGAAAAAAAGCAACAATGCACAGCTTGGGGAGGAGTTGTTGAGATGGGCAGCTGTATAAATTAATTGAATAACTAAATAAATATACACTTGGGCTCTCCCCCACACCCCCAGCCTCTCATCTTGTATATTACAGGTTCCGTTTCACTCCATTTGCTCCTAAGATTTTTCTCCTTTTTTAGTTTCCGTGCTCAAAACACAAGGCCGCCTCTGTCTTTTCAGAGTAAAACACCAACCTTTGAAGTTGAGGAATGCAAAAGGGGAGGGGGGGGAAGCAGAAATCGGTAGCTTCTTTCAAAAACACACTGCAAGGTTGTTGTTTTTGTTTTTTTTTGTTAGACCCTGATTCTCTTCTCGCCTTGATCTTCCCCCTCTTTAGTTTCCCACATTTAAATACCAGTAGTCCTCGATTTACAGCCATTCATTTAACGACCGAAGTTGCAACGGCGCCGGGAAAAAAAGTAACTCGCCACCCTTTTTCACACTTAACGACTTGTTGCAGCATCTCCCATCACGTCACGTGGAACGAAATTCATGCGGCTTGGCCACCGGTTCGTATTTATGACGGCTGCAGTGTCCTGGGGTCGTGTGATTTAAGACTTGTGGACTTCAACTCCCAGAATGCCACCATGCTGGTTGGGGAAATCTGGGGACTTGAAGTCCACAAGCCTTAAAGTGGCTAAGTTAAGAGACACCTACCCCCCCTCCCTCCTCCTTCTTTAATGGCATAAATGGCAATTAAAGATGGTATCTTTTAAGGGCAATTAAAGCCCAACATCTATGACAAACGCCTAGATGGGGGGGGGGGAAGGCAGATCTATTTAATGCCTGCTTTTTTGAATACATGCCGGTAGATAGCCAGATGTTATGGTTTTGGTAATGACCTTAGGAATTGGATAAAAAGGATGCTGCTTTGTAGGGAACGGTCAGATAAGAGGCCTCAGCTGGATAACAGGCAGAGCAGGAAGCTCAAGGGAGATCCCTCCCTAAATTTGCAAGATCACGCTAACGTAGATTTACAATAAACTTGGAATTGGATGATCTGGTCCGGCCTCTTGTGTGTGGGTTAAGACAGACACCGTTATCTAAAACTAAATGTACAGATGTTATCCTAAGAGACTCCAGAAGTCCTTGGTCGCTATGGACAGACCTTGATTCAGTCTTAAACCTGCTTTGTCTATTTTGAAAGCCTCTCCACTTTGTGTGTGTTAAAACGACCAAATCTTGGGACCTTGGCAGCAGCAAGCCGCGATATGAGTGCGTTAAACCTCTTGATGTTTTTTGAGAAGAACTTCAGCTGTTTGATAATGCATTGATTGTGGTTTTGTTAATTGGACGCTGAGTTTTAAGAACAGCCTGCTTCTCTTTCATAGTTAAGCTGCTGGGTGGTTTGTCGTAAAACCTGCAAGGGAAATCTGCCCGTGGTTTGTTTCTCTGCCTAAGCCTCCCCTGTATACAGGCGGTCCTCGTTTAGGGACCGTTCAGCGAAGTTACAACGGCCCTGTGACTTGCGACTCTTTTTTCAGACTTAAAACAACCGTTGCAGCATTCCCCTGGCCATGTGATCAAAAATCCGGCTGCTTGGCGACCGATTCATGTTTATGACGGTGCTGCAATGGCCGTTAAGTTCGAAAAACGGACCTCGGTCACCTTTTTTTTCAAGGCCTTCGTGGCTTGGAGCGGTCACTAAATGAACTGTTGTAAGTCGAGGACTGCCTGTATAGAAAGGTGTATACCTTGTTGCCAAGCAAGACAGTCGAGTTGAGTTTTGCCCCCAGTTTGCAGGCTTTCTTGCCACAGTCGTTAAATGAATCAGTGCCGTTATCGAGTTAGCCGCACGGATGTTAAGCGAATCGGGCTTCCCCCATTGACTTTTGCAGAGTTGGAAGGGACCTTGTAGGTCATCTAGTCCAACCCCCCGCCCAAGCAGGAGACTCTACACCAGGGGTCAGCAACCTGCGGCTCTGGAGCCGTATGTGGCTCTTTCACCCCTCTGCTGCGGCTCCCTGTCACTCAAAATATGCATCATAACTGCCAATGTGCGACACCCGCCGGCACGTGATTTATTGAGCTTTTCAACCCCCGGTAGGCCAACCATGGATAAATCCAAGAAAAAAAAAGTTTCAAAAGAAAACAAAATATTTAATTCAACTCCATATGCTAGTTTTGTGGCTGCTCAAGAAATAGTCAGGCACGGGAAGGGTTTTGTGGCTCCCGGTGTTTTCTTTTCTGTGGGAAACGAGTCCAAATGGCTCTTTGAGTGTTTAAGCTTGCAAACCCCTTCCCTACACCATTTCTGATAAATGGCAGTCCAATCTCTTATTGAAAGTCTCAAGGGATGAAAACTTTGCTCGTCAGAAGGTCGCAAAAGTGACCCCCGTCATAAATATGAGTCAGTGGCCAAGCGTCTGAATTTTCCTCGGGGATGCCACAATGTGAAAAACGTTCATAAGTCACTTTTCTCAGCGCCGTTGTAACTTCAAAGTGGTCGCTAAACAAATTATTGTAAGTCAACTACCGGTACTTCTACCTGTACGGTGAGTGATATTATTTCCGTCTCTTCCACAGTCGGGGTTTGGGGCGCCCGCTTTGCCGCCTCCAGATCTCTCATGGCGCTGAAGGCAGAGACCCCCTTGACGGACTACACTGAGGTCTCTTCGGCCATCTCGCGCTTCAGGGAGAAGGAGAAGATGGCTGCCGATTATCGATTCCTCCGCCGTCCCTCGGGGAAGCCGGACGGAGGCCTCGTAAACCCCGCGGACAAAGGTGGGGCATGTTTTTTTTTCACGAGCAGGGGGCATGGCATGGCTGACGCTGGGGAAGCAGTAGGAAACACAACCCCGCAGAGGGGTGTCCAGAGCCCTGGGCAGAGACAAGGCGTTGGGACGACAATTTTATAAGCACCCGGAGATTTTAAGAAAGGGAAGCGAGAGGTCTCGATCCAAAGCGAGAGACAAGTTTAGGATTTAGGGCAAGGTTGTGAAGCGCCAGCAGGCGTCGTAATTCTTTGGCCAGAAGAAACATTACAGGCGTTGGGAGTCAAAATGTTCTTGGTAAGGCTGCTGTTTTGGCTTCTTTGTTCATGTTCCACCTTTATTACTGAAGTACAGTATGGAAGTAAGTAACTCAAGGTGGCAACCATACATAAAACTCCTTCCTCCTCCCCCTTTTGCCCACAACAACCCTGTGAGGTGGGCTGGGCTGAAAGAGGGACTTGATCAAAGTCACCCAGCCAGCTTTCATGGCTTAAGGTGGAACTAGAACTCACCGTCTCCTGGTGATTGGCCCAAAGTCACCCAGCCGGCTTTCATGCCTATGATGGAACTAGAACTCACCATCTTCTGGTGATTGGCCCAAAGTCACCCAGCCGGCTTTCATGCCTATGGTGGAACTAGAACTCACCGTCTCCTGGTGATTGGCCCAAAGTCACCCAGCCGGCTTTCATGCCTATGGTGGAACTAGAACTCACCGTCTCCTGGTGCTTAGCCCAAAGTCACCCAGGCAGCTTTCATGCCTATGATGGAACTAGAACTCACCGTCTCCTGGTTTTCACCATAGACCAGGCCTTTTTCCTAACTTTCATGCTGGCTGGGGCACATCAGAGGATCTTCTAATGCTTAGGGAAACAACCTTGATTTCTAGAACTTTCTCTAGGTGTGAGTTTGTGGTTCCTTTTCAATGAGAACCCCATTTTTTTTCCCTCCGCAGGACAATATCCATTTTCAGAGTCTGCCGGCCAGGATGAGCTCGGCATCTCCTGGAAGCAGGAATACTTGGTAGCCGACGATCCGGACGATGGCCGGCTGGTGTGTATGGTGTGCGGTGGCATCTTGGCCACTTCCGGCCCCGCGGCGGCCCGCCAGCACATCCTGCAGCAACACGCCCACTCGCTGGACTTCACCCTGGAGGAGAAACGCAACATCCTGGAAGGCTGGAGCGAAGGGGTTGTGCTGCCCGCCGTAGATTCGCCGCCTGCAGGTAAGCATCTCCCTTCTCTGTTGTCGTTGCGTCACCCTCGCGGATCGGAACGGCCAACCGGGTGCCTGGCGCTGCACCTGGCAGCTTCTGATTCCCTTTCTGGCCCTTCCCCACCCCAGGCGGTCCCGGCGAGAACAAGCAGCCTGCCGAGATCGAAGTCCTCCTTGATACGGAGGAACAGCCCGTGAGGCGGAAGCGCAGGCCCGTCCAAGCACGGCGCGGTGAGTGCTAGGGAGGGCACAGAGATGCCAGGAGACGCCTAGAGCAGGGGTGTCCGACTCGATTTCATGGTGGGCCACATCACGGTCGTGTTCGACCTCGGGGGAGGGCGGGGGGGCGTGGCCAGTTTGACGTCCCTTGTGTCGGCGGCGCCTGTGGCTTCCCGAACACTCTGGTGGCAAAAATGGAGCTTGGTGGGCCACGCGTTCCCCCATGGGCCCTGTTTTCAGCCACTTCAGCTCCCTGCATTCCTCGGCCAGCGAAAACGGAGTCCCGTTTTCGCTGGCAGAGGCACCGCAGGTCGGTCCTTTGCTGTTTCCAGGGCCCTTCGGGTCGGATCCAGCCCCCCCGGGCCTTGAGTTTGGCACCCTTGGCCTAGACCATCCTTTTCAGACCACCACCACCCCGGGCCTCCACTGGACCCCCAGCGGTCCTTGACTTGTGACCACAGTTGGGACTAAGATTTCCGCTGCTTAAGCAAGGGGGTTGTTTAGTCGTTCAAACGAAGTCGTGCCCAGTTGTTGTTGTTTTTTTGGCAAAATCACTGCTTTCGTTAAGGGTTTTCATTCGGTCATTAAGCGAATCTAGTTAAAACCTCCACCCGCCTCCATCGAATTTGCTCGTCGAAAGCTGGCTGGGAAGGTCACAAACGGCCCCCACGGGCGAGGGTTGTAGGTGTGAGTCTCTCTTCTTCTTTTTTTTTTCCCCAACGCCGTTGTACCTCCCAACGAGTGTCGTAAGTCAAGGACTGCTGGTGTTCCTTAAACACGGCCCCGTCTCCAAGTCTTGTCACCTGGGAAGTGAGTGTTTTTCAAACTGGCTGCACCCACAGAGCAATCACGCTTTGCCGGGAATCCATGTTTGTGAGTGTGTTTTTGTGACAAGCTGGCAAAATTCCTCCCTGCGTAATGGCTGCAAAGGTTCCTTAACCCCTGAGCTGATCTCAAAATATATCTGTCAAAAACGGGACCTGTCTAAGGCTCCTCCTCGGGGATATATCCCAGCGTCCTTTGCTGCAGGCTAAGCTCTCCGGGGGCTTCTGGGAGCTGTAGTTCGCCCGCCGTAGTTCACCCAACTTCCCTCCAGCTGCTTCTTCCCTAGATAGGTTGGTGCAAGATGTGAACCCCTGCAGGTAATCCTAGATTTACAAGCCACAATTGAGCTAAGCGAGACAATGGTTAAGGGAGTTTCGCCCCATTCTGACGACCGTCCTTAGCACAATTGTTTTTATTTTATTTTATTCTTATTTTATTAGTCATATTTCTATGCCGCCCACTCTCCGAGGACTCTGGGCGGCTTACACCAAAGACAGTATACTAAATAGCATATTGCCCCCTAACAGTCTGGGTCCTGTTCAGTAAATCACCGCATCTGTTGAGTAACACAGTTACTCAACTCTTCCCCAAAAGACTACAGATGTATGAACGAAGCCCCCCCCCCCCAAAAAAAACCTACCCTGTTTCCCCCAAAATAAGACATTCCCCTGATAATAAGCCCAATCAGGCTTTTGAGCGCATGGCAATAAGGCCAAGTGTTTTTTTCAGGGTTCAAAAAAAATGTAAGACAGGGTCTTATTTTCGGGGAAACATGGTGGAGTGGAGTGGGGAGTGGAGTGGAGTGCAGTGGAGTGGAATTAGGAATAGGAATAGGAATAGAATAGAATAGAATAGAATAGAATGGAATGGAATGGAATGGAATGGAATGGAATGGAATGGAATGGAATGGAATGGAATGGAATGGAATGGAATGGAATGGAATAGAAAATGGAGTGGAGTGTAGAGTGGAGTACAGTGTAGTGTAGTGTAGTGTAGTGTAGTGTAGTGTAGTGTAGTGTAGAGAAGAATAGAATAGAATAGAATAGAATAGAATAGAATAGAATAGAATAGAATAGAATAGAATAGAATAGAATAGAATTGGAAGGGACCTTGGAGGTCTTCTAGTCCAACCCCCTGCGTAGGCAGGAAGCCCTACACCACTTCAGACAAATGGTTGTCCAGCCTCTTCTTAAAAACTTCCAGTGCTGGAGCATTCACAACTTTTGCAGGCAGGTTGTTCCACGGATTAATTGTTCTCACTGTCAGGAAATTGGAGTGGAGTGGAGAGTGGAGTGGAGTGGAGTGGAGTGGAGTGCAGTAGAGTAGAGTAGAGTAGAGTAGAGTAGAGTAGAGTAGAGTAGAGTAGAGTAGAGTAGAGTAGAGTAGAGTACCCTGTTTCCCCCAAAATAAGACATTCCCCTGATAATAAGCCCAATCGGGCTTTTGAGCGCATGGCAATAAGGCCAAGCGTTCATTTCAGGGTTCAAAAAAAATGTAAGACAGGGTCTTATTTTAGGGGAAACACGATATTAGGCAAATCCTGCCCTTTTCCAAAAGACCTCCATCCTGCTTCCTTTTGACAGCTCGCACAAGGGCACGTACTCCTTGACTTAACGACCACAATTGAACCCCCAGACTTCTGTCACTTAAGACGAGACATTTGTTGTAGGCGAGTTCCGCCCCGTTTCATGACCTTTCTTGCCACCGTTGTTAAGCGGATCCCGGCAGTTGGGACGTTAGCAACGGGGTTGTTAAGTGAATCTTGGTTTCCGCACGGACTTGGCTTGTCGGAAGTTCGCAAAAGGGTCTCACGTGACCCCGGGAACACTGCAGCGGTCATAAATGCGAGTCCAAATTTCGATCACCTGACCCAGAGGGGGTGCCCCGATGGTCGTGTGAAAAACCAGTCACAAATCGCTTTTTCCGGTGCCGTCGTAACTTCGAATGTCATTAAACGAACAGTTTTGTAAGTCGAGGGCTACCTGTATAATCTTTACCCCAGGTTTTAGCAAAAGGGGCACCGAACCAAGTCACGAAAACCTCCGAAATGCCTTGATATTCAGTGTGCTTTGTGGCCGCGCTAATGCTCCTCCTTCCTTAACCGTGTCTTTTGTGGCTCCCTGTCTTCCTTTTGTCGTGAAAAGAAACCAGATCTTTCCTGTCCTCACCACAAAGCTGCACAACGCCATTCGAGACCCACAATTGAACTCCTGTGCTTTTCTCGCCTTTTTTTCTCTTCGCAGCGGAGGGGTTGCATTTAGAAGCCGAACGGCGACTTTCGGTTCGACAGAGGACGCCCGCCAAGGAATCGAGGGGCCAGGAGCCCATGGAGGCTGCAGGTAACACTTGGTTGCCTCTGAACCAGTTGTTGAGTGTCGCTTTCTGATTTTTCTCTTCTTCTCTGTCCCCCGTCGTCTCCCCCCCCCACTTTGTGTGCTGAGCTCCGTTTTAATGGCAAAAAAAAAAAAAGCAATTTGTTCAACAAATTCAGGATATCTTCCTCCGGCCTCCAAAAGTCAAGTTTCTAGCCCTTATGAAGACAAAGGGAAGCTTGAAAGCTGGCCAAGTTTTGGGGGATTTTGATTCTATAGGTAAAGGTAAAGCTTCCCCTCGCACATACGTGCTAGTCGTTCCTGACTCTAGGGGGCGCTGCTCGTCTCCGTTTCAAAGCCGAAGAGCCAGCTCCCTACCTTCCATTCCCCACTATCCTGTCAGAGCTGAAGAAGCTTGGATGAGAAGGGAAGCATCTTCAAAAGAAAAAACAAGACAAGTCCAGTTGCCTCCTGAAAAAGCATCTTTGAGGCTCCCTGTCTGTGGGTGTTTCTAGTCCTCAAGATTCTGGAGGAAGCCATGAAAATGTCCATTGATTTTTTATGTGGCTTGGAAATGTAATCGGCTTGAATAAAATTGTAACTTTTACGGATTAGAGCAGCGGGAGAGCTCATCCGGCTTATTATTTTATTGATTATTTATTACAGTCAAAGTCCAGTACAATTAGAAATACTCAAAAGAGTTGTCTAGTTAAAAGTCCTGGAATAAAACAACTAACAAATAAAATCTGTGTTGATTAGATTTACATCCTGCCATTTCGGATTAAGTACAGGTAATCCTCGATTTACGACCCACAATTGAGCCCAACATTTCTGTTGCTAAGGGAAACATTCGTTAAGTACGTTTTTCCCCATGTTACGACCTTCCCTGCCACCGTTGTTAAGCGAATCATGGCAGTGGTGAAGTTAAGTCACAAGGTTGTTAAGTGAATCCGGCTTCCCCCATTGACTTTGCTGGTCAGAAGGTCGCAAAAGGGGAGCATGTCACCGTCGTAAATACGAGTCAGCTGCCACGCCTCTGAATTTTTGATCCCAGGACCATGGGGATGCCGCAACGGTCGTTAAGTGTGAAAAACGTCTCCGTAAGTCACTTTTTCCAGGGTCGTAACTTCGAACGGTCGCTAAACGAACTCACTTGTAAGTCTACCTGACTAGCTGTAACTCCCATCAAGTAGGCTGGGCTAGCATCATTAGCAGCCCTTCCACTCTTAAAGGACTTCCGTCGGCTTTAGATCAGTGGTGGGTTCCTCCCGGTTCGGCCGAGCCGGTAGCGGCGATGATATGACCAGTGCCTCCAAAAACAAAATGAGTAGATCGGTACTCTGCAAGCAGTTAAAAGCCTGGTAGACCAGTACCTCTGCTAAATCCTGAAGAATTGTCACATGATCATCAAGCCACACCCACAAAATAAGCCACGCCCACAGAACCGGTAGTAAAAAAAATTAGATGTGTGAGAATCGTAATAAACGCGTTTTTAATTTTTCACACTCGTTTTGTTTTCTAGGAAAGGAGTGGCTGTCGGAATGCGGACTTCCCGGGTCAGCTCCGGCTGAAATCCGGATTTTCACGGACGGCTCCTTTCCCGCTGGATTCACCCTGAAGCTGTACTGCCGTTCTCAGCCAGGTGGGTGGAAACTCAAAAAGCAGTGCAAATCTGGTTGTTTTTTTTCTGAAGACTCTGGAAATATTGGCGCAATTCCAGGCTTGGCACAGATCACAAAGGTGTTTTTTTTTTAATCTATAAACAGCTGTACCAGACCAAGGTCACTCAGCAATATCCAGTATCTGGCCCTGATATCTCGGCAGTCCTGGCATGGAAAATTGTTTTGGTGGGGGGTTTTTTTAACGTTAAAAAGAGATTGTTTAGTCAGAATGGCTGTTCCTGGCTCCCGTTTAGAGAATTGTTTTCTTAGCTCTGCAAAGTTTTATCCCGTTTTTTCGTTGATTTTTTTCCCCCCTCCTGCCATCACTCTGCTGATCCTCTAACTCTCTGCCTAGTGTCTATTAATCCATGTGGTGTGGCTGTAATAATCTATATAAGATAATATATACTATATATATATATATTATCTATCTCTCTCTATATATATATTTTATATATATATATATATATATATATATTATAATATATATAAGATAATCCTTATCTTCTTTATTCTCCCTTTTATTGGTGGTATTACATTATTATTATCTATAATAATAATAATAATAATAATAATAATAATAATAATAATAATAATTTTAATCTAAATTTAAATTTAAATTTAAATAATAAATTTAATCTAAATTTACCGGACTTGAACATTTTGACTCTACAAAAAACCACCTTACTCGGAACAGCTTACATCCTCCGACGATACTTTAACAGTTCCTAGGTCCTTGGTTAGGACTCGAGCTGCTGAGCTATTAACCAGCCTCAAAGGCTGTGAATTTCACTAAAGATTAACCAATAATAATAATAATAATAGCAACATGAAACTCAGTCGACTGAACATTTAAAAATGTACCAGTCAATAATATTTGTGATGCATTTTTAAATGTTCAGTTGACTTGAGTTTCATGTTAATGAATGAAAGTTTATAACGTATTATTATTATTATTATTATTATTATTATTATTATTATTATTATTTCATTAAACATGAAACTCTTGTCAACTGAACATTCAAAAATGCATCACAAATACCATTGACTGGTGCTAATGGTTGAAACGGGTTGCTGCCAGCGTCCTAGGTGTCAACCAAGGACCTTCTTAAGATGTACCATGTTCCGAGTAGCGCAGTTTTTTGCAGTTCTGCTGGTGTTGTTGCAGGAAGCTGCAATTTGTTGATGTATCTTATAAAATTCTTGGACATGGTACCAAGTGCCCTGATGACAATGGGCATCACTGTTACATGTTTCATCCATAGCCGTGTAATTTCGATGGCCAGGTCACGATATTTCGTGATTTTTTCCCAGTTCTTTTTCTTTGACTCCGGCATCTCCTGGTACAGCAATATCAATAAACTATACATTTCGGTTTTCGACAACTGTGATATCTGGCGTGTTGTGTTCTAAATGACGATCCGTCTGTATTCGAAAGTCCCACAAGATCTTCACAGTCTCATTTTCTTATTATTATTATTATTATTATTATTATTATTATTATTATTATTATTTCTTTGCATGTACACTAAGTGCTTCTGTGCCAGGTACAAATTCCTTGCGTGTTTAATCAGATTTGGCCAAATAAAATAGATAGTCCTTGACTTATGACAACTGAGCCCAAAGTTTATGTTGCTAAGCGAGACATTTGTTAAGTGAGTTTTGCCCCATTTTACGACCTTTCTTGCCACAGGAGTGAATCACCACAGTTCTTAAGTTAGTGACATGGTTGTTAAGCGAATCTGGCTTCTCCACTGACTTGGCTTGTCAGAAGGTCGCAAAAGGGAATCACATGACACACACACCCTCCCAGGACACTGCAACCGTCATAAATATGAGTCAGTTGCCAAGTATCTGAATTTTGATCACGTGACCTTCGGGATGTTGCAGTGGTCGTAAGTGTGAAAAAGTATCATCGGTCCCTTTCTTCAGTGCCTTTGTAACTTTGAATAGTCACTAAATGGACTGTTGTAAGTCGAGGACTATCTGATTCAGTTCAATTGAATTGGTTTTATCTCTGCTGTGATTTTGTCCCAAATCTTTAAAGAAAGACAGATGGCCCTCTACTTAAGACCCCAAGTTGGGATCGGGAAATCTGTTGTTAAGTGAGGCATCACTTGACCCACAACTTCTTTGCTGCAGTCATTAAGTGAATTGTGACAGTCATTAAGCGAGTCACCGCATGTTCACAATGCGGAACCTTCCCTGCCGGTTTCCCCACCGATTTTGCTTGTCGGAAGCCAGCCTGAGAAGGTTGGCAATCGTGATCTGTGTGGTCACTCGTTTAGTGACTGTGATGATTCGCGTACTGACCACAGCTGAAGAAGGTCGTCAAATCGTGCGCCGTCATGCAATGCCTCACTTAACAACAGGTTATCCAATCCCCGATTGGGTTTCTAAGCTGGATTGCGCCCAGATTGTGATCTCCTGACAACGGGGATGCTGCAGTGGTCATAAGTCCAAGAATGGATCACATGTCACTTTTTCAAGCGCCAAAGTAACTTCAAACGGCTTCTAAACAAATGGTCGTGAGTTGAGGACTGCCTGTAACCAAAGAGGCTGCATTCTTTTGGTGTTTGGCTTGATATTTGTGTTGTGGCCTGCCAGCAGAGCTGACAGAATATTCGGACGGTGAGGAGGTTTGGGGAGGAACGTGGTCCAGTCCTGGAGTCTGGGGAAGGCTCAGACGAGGGTTCTGCGTCAGAGGCAGGGAGGGGGCCAGGGCCATCTGGGAGTTCTTTGCTGCCTCTGGAGTCTCCGGAGTCTGACATCAGCGAGGCAGAAGAACAGCGGGAGCCTGTTCCCAGTGTGCACATGCACAGAGCTGCCGGATGACAAGAACAATTAAGAAAACAGGGTCAACTTGGGAGTAAGGCTTGGAGATGATTGGCCTCTCCCATAAGACATAAAAGAAGAGCAAACGGGATGTGAGCTTTTGCAGGAAGCAATTAGTTCATTTGGCCGATTCAAGATTTGGAAATTCTGTTTGTGACTCTGTGCCAAGTTTGGCCTTGCCCTGCATCTGGAAATTAGCTCTCTGGCAGCGTTCCACGGGAGATAAGGTGGGTGTTGATAATCTTCCTCTGAAAGACTGTTTTACCAAGCCTTGCAGACTGTAAACGAAAGGAATTCACAGCCGTATGAACTAAAGAAGTTTGCCGGGACTAAGCTTGTGCGTTTAATTTCTAAGGAAGCCTACGTCAGAACAATTTGCTCCCCAAAGCTGCAGAAAACTACTTGCCTTGGGGAGGGGGGGGGCGGAAGCTGAGTATTTGAATTGTGCGTATCCTACAACGACAACTGTGATGTTTTTCTGTTGTAGAACCATCAGAAGGCACCGGAACGAAGACAAACGCAAGGAAGAAAACAGTGGGTAAGCATGAATTTTTTTTGTTTATCCAAAATAGGTCTTTGGTTTTACATCAGACTGTGTTTCATTGGGCGGGAAGGGATCAGCAGTGGATTCCCCCTGCCAGAGGTCACTAATATTGCCCAGTAAAAAGATTCCTTTCCATGGAGGGAAAATCCCTGTGTTGTCCATCGGCCAATGTTGGTTTTGAACGTTAGCGCTGACACCAATTGAAGAACTTGTGCCTGTTTCTCTTCTTCGTCTTTTTTTTTTTAAAGCCCCCAGTCCTCATTGTTTTAGCCGGGGGAAAAATCAATTGCAGAGGAACTGGGAAAGTTTGCAGAGAATTACAGTTTATCGAGCAGAAATTAGCATCCGTGTAGACCGGGGGGAAGAGGAGATAAACCAACATTTAACTCCACTTTGCTGGCCATCCTTGTATGCCAACTCCATCCTTGGGGGACAGATTTTGGAAATGTGAGCACTTCCGATGAAAATTATAGGAGCCTGAAAAACATAGCAGCTGGATCCAGCCAGAACTTGCCTATCCAGCTGTGTAACGGAGGCTTCAGCCATCTGGGAAATTCACAAATACGGGGAAAAGTCAAATATTTCGCTCCCTTCTTGTTGTTGTTGCAGTAAGGCAGCCCTTTCAGAGGCTGGCTGTTGCTACAAAGAACAGCAGCCATTGCAAACAGAATCACAAGAGTCGGAAGGGACCTTGGAGGTCTTCTAGTCTAACCCCACTGTTTAAGCAGGAGATCTTATACCATTCCGGACAAATCTCTTTAAACCCTTCCAGTGATGAAGCACCCACAACTTCTGGTGGCAAGTCGTTCCATTGGTTAATTGTTCTCACCGTCAGGAAATTCCACCTTAATTCCAGGTTGCTTCTCTCCTTGATTAGTTTCCATCCGTTGCTTCTTGTCCTGCCTTCGGGTGGTTCGGAGAACAAGTCGATCCCCTCTTCTCTGTGGCAGCCCCCTCAAATATTGGATCGCTCAGAGTCTTTGAATGTAGTTTAGCTCAGTAGATTAAGTAAATCAATAGATTAAAAAAAAAACTAGATTGGCCTTTGACTTTCAGCCTGTGGTTCCTAAGGGGTGGAAGAGAACTCCAGAGTTTTTAATTCTGGGTTGTGGGAAGGGAAACTTCCCTATTATCTCCCAAATCTCCTTGCTTTTAGTTGCAGAGGATGTCGTCAAATTGTGTGTGAAAGACACATCCGTGCTCTGCATTCATTATAGGTACTTCCCTATCATGCTTCGTGTCAAAAAGTTAGTGAATCGGGAAGGTTTTTTTAAATTTTTATTTATTTGACAATTGTGTGGATCCCGTTTTGTTTCTTCCCCACCCCCACCCCCACTCCTTCAGCGGGGAATAAAAAAACAAATAATATCAGAAAGCTAAAACCTGCACATCATTGAGTTAGGTTACTGAGTTTTAAAAGGGGGTCTGGATGGGACTTGTCCAGTGGCTGGGATTCAGCCGGTTTGTGTGAACCGATTGTTAAACTGCTGACTGGCCCTGCTCCGCCCTTTCCAGGAATCCCCACGCTTCCCCGTTTTGGCTCCCAGGTAAGTGCAGGGTGGCCTACTAGGCCCAAAACAGGGCACCAGGGTTGGGGTGGTTCGGCGCTGCCTCTCCGCGGCCCATTTTTGCTCCCGGGGGAGGCAGTGGTGGGATTCAGCCAGTTCGCACCACTTCGGGAGAACCGGTTGTTAACTTTCTGAGCAGTTTGGCAAACTGATTGTTGGAAAGAACCATTAGGGCCGAGAACCGGTTGTTAAATTACTTGAATCCCGCCACTGTGCAGGAGGCCGTGTGCTGCCTGTCACACACACCATGGCCACGCCCACCATAGCCACGCCCACCATGGCCACCGTCATTAGGGCAGAGAACGGGTTGTTAAATTATTTGAATCCCACCAATGGATTTGTCTGCCTGCAGAGATTTAAAAATCCAGGGAAGAACTAGAGGAAGCCAAATTCCTCTAGAATTAGAGAACGAGAGATATTATTATTATTATTATTATTATTATTATTATTACTACTACTACTACTACTACTACTACTACTACTACTACTACTACTACTACTACTACGATTGAGCAGACCTTCAGACCGGATTTGGCATTCTTGTCCACCTATCGAGTCTTTCCCAAGGACCTATGATATTATTGTTGTTATTAGTTATTATTTAAAATCTCTCTTGTTTGTTCTCTTCCTTTCTGATTTTAATAATCTTTACAATAAGGAGCCCAGAGAGTTATTTTCCCATCCATATCGTGAGAAAAAAGCGCTCTGCTGAATCGCAAAATATTTTGGCAATTTTGGCCTGTGAGCGCCATTTTTAGCCTCACAGAAGCTTTGTTTTAAAAGTGTTTGTATGTTGGGGGGTGACTAGGTGGCTCAGTGGCTAAGACACTGAGCTTGTCGATCAGAAAGGTCGGCAGTTCGAATCCCTAGTCCAGGAACTAGAAAGGGGGAAATTATTTGTTTAAATTATGCCAGATTAAAACAGAAATAAAAAAGAAAAATGTACTTACCTTATTTTTCGGAGTATAAGACTCACTCTCCCCCCTCCAAAGAGGGTGAAAATTTGGGTGCATCTTATACACCGAATGTAGCCCTGCCCACCCGCCAGCCCTCCAGAAAATGGGGTGCGCGGAGGCAGCAATAGGCTATGGCAATCCCTGCAGCCTGAAACAGCTGATCGTCGGGAGGCCGATCCAACCGACATTCAGCTGCTTGTGCTAAGCTGAAACGGGCTGTTTGCTGCAAGGAAGCAAATTGGGAGGCAGAGGCAGATTTTTTTTTCTTGTGGTAATCAGGCTGTGCTGAGGCTGAAACAGGCTGTTTGCTGCAAGGAGGCAAATTCCTGGGAGGCAGATTTTTTTTTTTCTTGTGCTAATCAGGTTGTGTTGAAAATGAAACTGAAACAGGCTGTTTGCTGCAAGGAGGCAAACTGCTGGGAGGCAGAGGCAGATTTTTTTTTTCTTGTTTTCCTCCGCCTTATAGTCCAGAGTGTCTTATACTCCGAAAAATATGGTCGATCTAGTTAGCCCCATGCTGGGCCACCTGAATAGCAAGGGATATTTCCGACCGGTAAGTCATTCTGTGTGTGGTGTATATCACGTACTTTAATTCAGTTTTAAGTCATGTCTCCTTGGTTTTGACGTTGCTTTCCACGGTTTGAATCGGTTAGATGAGCAGAGACAAAATTAACAGAGTTGGAAGGGACCTTGGAGGTCTTCTAGTCCAACGCCCCCCTGCTCAAAGACAAAGAGGCTTAGTTGTTTGTGGGCCCCAGACTTCTGTCACTTAGATGAGACATTTGTTAAGTGAGTTCTGCCTCCATTTTACGACCTACCTTGTCACCATTCTGAAATGAATCACTGCAGTTTGATAAGTTAGTCACCCAGTTGTTAAGCGAATCCAACTTTGTCAGGAGGTCACAAAAAGGGAGTCATGTGACACACACACACCCGGGACGCTGCAACCGTCGTAAGTATGAGTCAGTTGCCAAGCATCCAAATTTTGATCAGGTGAGCACGGGGACACTGCAACGGTCGTTAAGTGTGAAAAATGGCCGTGAGTCCCTTTTTCCAGTGCCGTTGTAACTTTGAACGCTAAACAGAATGGTTGTAAGTCGAGGACTACCTGTACGCTATCCTGACCGATGATGCGCGCCTTTGACTCTCTTCCCCAGATCGCGACTGCTCCGTCTCCCTGCTGCGGCTTCACTCCAGGGACACCGGCGGTCACCTCCACCCAAGCCAGGACACCCTCTCCCCCCGTTGCCCGCTGGGCAGCTCCGCCGACAGCCGCCCCAAAGACTGTGGGGCAGTTCGGGGAGTGGCCAAAAGGGGTGCCCCTGCTGGCAAGGAGGCCTCCACCGCCCTCGGGAAAGGCTTCAACCCCTCGTGGCGCGCGCGGTTCCTGGTGGACTTTGACGACGCCACCGGTCACTTGGTGTGCATGGTTTGTGAGTACCCGTTGCGGCGCATCTGCCTTGCCACCGTCAAGCAACACATCCTCCAGTGCCACGCCGAGACGCTGCAGATGCCGCGCGAAGTCCGGCGTACCATCCGCGAAGTCTGGGAGAACCGGTGCCAGCCCTCCGCCCAGGCCCCGAGGAAGTGACAGGCTTCTCTCCATCCCACTTGACTCGGGAAGCCGCGAGAAAGGGTTTAAAAGAGACCAAATTCTGTGGACCACCAGGCAGGAATCTAGGGGCGGAGCTTGAGGGAAGGAGGCTCCACCCCCTCCTCGGAAGCCCCCCCCCCAACACTATCGCTCCCGTCTCCCTTGCTGGAGAACCGAACAGATTCTGAGCTAACTCTGCCGCCATTTTGCAAGTCTTTTAATTCTGCTTTTTATATATATTATTTGTTTCTGTTTTCAACTTTTGTTTTTTCCATCCTAAGCAGAAGCAGCTCTTGATTTCTCTCAGGCTCCAGCCTTTTTTTTTTTTTTTTTTTTCTCCTCACCAGCAAAATTCCACACTACAGCGGAGAACGGAGTCGCCGCTAAATCAGCGAGTCGAGACGGGAGGCTTTTGCCACTGCCTTCCCCTTATTTCAGGGTCGGTTTATTAAAAAAAAAAGAAAAGAAACAAAAAAAGAAACTCAGGGGGAAATTTTTTTTTGAGTTGCAGTCGGATCCTTCGCCTTTTTTCATTATTGTTTTTTTTTTACATTTTTTTTTTACATCCTGTCCCCACGAAAACTGCAGCAAGAAATAAATAAGACATATATATATATATATATACACACACTCATTGCTGGGACTGCCTTTTTTTGCAGCCGGGAAGTTCATTTTTCATCGCCAACGCTGTATTTCTCTGCAATTAAAGGGACCTCCCCTCCTTCCTGATTTAACCAGAGGATTACAAATAATCAGCCTGGGCCTTTATAAACAAGATTCATAAACCACAGGGAGCACTAAAAATATATATATATTTTATGTTCTACGAGCGGTCTCCTATCTATCTTATGTACGTTTTGAGTTCCGTGTTGCGGTTACCACTTCGCTTGTACTCCTGCAAGGGAGGAAAAAGAAAAAAAAAGGAGGGAATTTGTCTTTTGTTAGAAAATCTCGAGCAAAGAAAAGAGGCGGCCAGCTCCGTAAATTGTGCTGAACGATGATCCATCCCCCTGCATCTGGCTCGCGAACGCTTTGAAAAACCAGCGTGCGAAGGAGCAGCCATTTTCTCTGTGTGTGCCTTTTAACCCTCTTATCCAGGTTTTCGGGTGGGCTGCTCAACAGGTGCGAGCAGGAGGCCAAGCGAGTCCCTCTCCTTTGACTTAGAAGAAAAGGGGAAAAAAAGAAAAAAAAATTCCCCCCCCTTAATGCAGAGGTGGACGGACGTTCTCGCTGTAGTAGACGAAAGCAGGTTTATATAGTTGAATCCTTTGTAGACGAAGATCATTGAAGATCAATGTCCTCGCCTATTCCAGGGAAAGGATCCTTTCGTGCCGCTGCTAATTACAATAAAACCACTGAAAAATCTCTTCTTTTTTTCCCCCCCTTCCACCTCCCTTTTTGGATTGCTTGCAGTTTCAGAATCCACCACATGAGGGCGCCTTTGACTTGTTTTTAAAAAGGGGGCCAGTGAGAGAGAGAGAGGACCAACTCCTAGACAAGACTCCTCTGCGTAGTAAATTTGAATTCTCGGTATATTTGCTTCTGGAGTCTCTCTGATCCCGCAAACACATAGTGGGCACAGGGGGGGGGGGCACACGTATGTTGCAAGATGCCATGTTTTCTCCCTGCCTGCATGGCCATGCATCCTGACATACAAGTGGAAATAGCAATTCTAGGGCGAATTAAATCTCGCACGCACAAACCTCCCCAATCGGGTGAAATGCTCCCGGTTTGGACCGGATCGCCTGATCCGGTAGCAATGGCGGCTGGTGGTTTGGAGAACCGGTAGCAAAAATCCCTGCCCCCCACCCCACCCAGCTGAGCCGCGCAATCGTCAGAGGCTGTTTTTTTTTTTACTTTTAAAAGCATTTTTTCTACAACCTCTTTGGCCGAAGAGGTAGGGAAAAAAATGCCTTTAAAAGCCTCTGGCAATCCCAGCTGACTTGCCTGTTCGTCAGAGGCATTTAAAAGCATTTTTTTTCTGCAACCTCTTAAGGTTGCATAAAAAATGCTTTTAAAAGTTTTTTAAAAAAAAAGTTGGCCACACCCACCCAGTCACATTACCACCCCCTACCAAGCCACGCCCACAGAACCGCTAGTAACAATTTTTAGATTTCACCTGTCCCCAATTATTGTCAAATATTGTGACTTTGCCGACGGATGGAACAGAAGTCAGAATAGCCTTTGTCCTTCCATGACACTCGTTTTATCAAATCCGTTCTTGTTTCTCATCCAGAGAGGCTTTCAATGGAGGCAATTTGGCTTAAAAGTCACTATTTTTTGGGGGGGACCCCTTACACCCCTCCCGCCCTGCCCCCCTTCCCCCACTTCAAAAGAGAGACTTATTACAAAAAGCAGAAATCACATTTAATAAATTAAGGAGAGGCCTTTTACAGTCAGGTCCCAATAAATAACAAAAGCAAGAGAGAGAAACAGCAGGCAGGAGGAAGGAACCGAAACGGCGAGAGAGGCGGTATTTTTTTTTTAAAGTACAAAATAGTCTAAAAAGAGAGAAACAGAGGAGAAATTGAACTCGCTACCCACCACCGTCAACAACTGCTACATGGAAGGGGTGTTGCTCGGATCGGAGGTGGGGGGGGGGTCATTGAAGCAAAGCTAGGAAGGAGCACAGCAGGAGGCTGGCGTGTGTACACGCATGCAGATACAAAAATCAGCCATTTAAGCTTTGCATCGGGCGCCGTGTGTATTAAAAGGTGTTGTGTTTTTCTGAGTCGTTTTGAGAAACAGAATCCGTGTTTTCCCAATTTAGCCGCCGTTTCCCGCATCGCCCCCCTCCCCACTTTTTTTTTTTTTTTTAAACCTATTGGGCTTTCAAAATATTTGGGGGGAAAAGGAAATACCGATTTTTCTTAGCAAAAGAGGCTCGCAAATTTGATGGCATTCTGAAGTGGCCAAGACTTTTAAAAATGCAGGCCCCCCACTCAGTCGGGGCAGATTGCGGATTCGGAAACCCGCTATCCTTGCTCTCAACCCCCCCTAAATTCTATTCAATTTCTCCCCCCCTTTTTTTTCCGCCAAACCCCTCCCAATTTTTCATAACAAACCGGTGTGCTGGGAGAAAAGTTTTCGCACACCGATGATCTTCACGGAAGCTTCTGCAGCAAAAGATAAGCTTGTCCCCCTCTCTCCCCACCAAGCTCATCCTCATCAACATTTCCCCCCCCCCATTACAGGTAGTCCTCGACTTACGACCACAATCGAGCCAAACACTATGCAAGACCGTTGAGTGAGTTGACTTTTTTTTTTTTTTTTTTGCTACAGTCGTTCAATGAATCTCTACAGTTCTTAATTGGATGCTACAGTCACAAAGCAAATCTGAATTCTCCCCCAGCGACTTGGGTTCCAAGCATCCAAATTTTGAACCTGTGACCCCCCGGCGATGCGGGGGGAAAATTGGTCATAAGTCGCTTCCCCCTGTTGCTGTTGTGAATTTGAGCGGTCGCTAAAACGGAAAGTTGTAAGTCGAGGACTACCCGTGTACCCCATCCTGGGCATTTTCAGAGGGTCTGTAAAATCTTCAGAATAAAAATAAGAGATCAGACTTTTCCAAGAAGAAAAGGAACAGTGCAAAAAAAAAAACCAAACGACAAACCCAAATCACCTAAAGACACTTTTTCAAAGAGAGACGAACATGGAAACTACAAAGATTATTATTTTCTTTTATCACAGTTGCGTGGCATTTTTTGTTTTCGTTTTCCCTTTTGGCATGGTGAATGCATGAGCGGAGGTAACGGAGGGCCTGCCTGCTGCCCACTCCTTGTTGCATTTTCCCCCTCCCCAATTTTCTAAAACCACATTTCCCCTCTCTCTTCCCCCATTTATGCTCGCATGGCAGGTTGTAAGCTGGGTTGGAGAGAAATTGGAAGACTGTTGAAAAGCGCAGGGCCTACGGCAACCTCTTTGCGCTCCCCACTTCTTTGGGGGGTGGGGGGGCACGGGGGGGGTCTTTAAGACGAAACCCACCCCTTCCGATAAAAATATGCATTTTTGTGTATTGCAACTTTAACAGCCTGTGGACTTCGAGTCCCAGAATTCCTCAGCACAGCCAACTCAGGAATTCTGGGAGTTGAAGTCCACAAGTCGTAAAATTGACTTCCCTCCTCCCCATTAAGATAGCAGCCTCTATTGTCACTGGCTGTGGAGGATGATGGGCTTCCTTCCCTCAGGCAGGAAGCCGCAGCATCCTTTCCGCCCCCTCGCGTTTTTTCTAAATTAAACATCCCTGCCCTCTTTTTTTTTTTTTAACAGTGCTTCGTTTTCCGGAGAGACCCTGTCGAGATGGGGAGGTGGGCTGCTTTAACTGTGCTCAGTAAGGGGGTGGTGGTCCTGTTTTCTCATCCCACCCACCCATCCACCCCTCCTTTAAATCCTCAGTCCATGCAAGGGATCTGCACCCGAGAGGCGGGCAACGTAATGCCACTTGCGTCTCATTAAAGCGGCCGTCTCGCTCTTTTTTTTTCTTCCCCAGGAAAAGGCTGCTTTAAAAAGCCTGCAGCGATTGGCTGCTTCCGACCCCCCGTTGCAAACCCTCATTTTGCAAAATCGGTTCTGAAATGCTACGATGAGAGACGGGAGCAGAAATGAGGGGGGGGGAGAGAGAAAGAGAGACCAGGTTGGCCCCCTTAAGTGGGGGAGAAAAGGACTCCTAGTTTTCTATTTGCAGCTAGGACTTTTTTTTTGTCAGCCCAAAAGGATAGTTCCCCAGTTTGGGGAATGCGTTCCACCCTCACCCCCTCCCCTCACCCCATTTAAACCCCCCCCCACCATCAAACCCTCCCTGCTCCTTATAGATGCACAAACACAGACAGTTGGCAAATGCACAAGGAATTGGGAGATACTGCTGTCCACAGCATATAAATGGAAGTAAACTGGAGCTTTTCTTTAAAAAAAAAAAAAAAAAGGCAGTGGTAAGGAATAGCTCCCTCTGATTTATACACACACACCCAATAAATTAACCTGGCACACAACAGCCCCACCCCAATCACTCCCCACTCTCTTCCCACCCGGATGCCAAGGTAGACCAGCTTGGAAAAACCACGGTGGACGGTCGAAACTGCCGTCGCCGATTAAATTTGTGTCGTCCGGACCCACAAAACCAAGTGACAACGGCCTTGTGCGTGGGGACGCAGCCTCAAGGATTGGCTGTGCAAAGGCAGACGGAGATTGGAACTGCCCTGCGGCGGGTGGGGGGGGGAAAGAGAGATGGTGGGGGGGTTGATTTCTACGAGGTTCTGGATTTGGCAATCAGCTTGCCGTTTTGACCGTCTTTTGGGGGGGGAGATTGCACCCTCCTGCCTCCCTACCCCTTATTGCACGCACGCCTCCCTCCCCCTTTTTTTCCCCTCCCCCCCCAGCCCTGAGAGTTGACGGAGATCACCCGGTGGTGCTCCATCTCAGTTCACACCTCCGTCTCCACGCCGGCCAGCTTAGGGGTGAGGATGCGGGGCGTGACGCCGGCGTTGAGGTCCGTTTCGAACTGCAAAAGTTGCCCCATGAAGTTCAGGTTGGGCGAGATGACGGGCCGGCGGCCCTTGACGTACTTGTAGGCGTCGCCCATGGTCATCAAGGTGTGCTTCATCAGGTAGGCGATGACGATGGTGGCCGAGCGCGAGACCCCGGCCTGGCAGTGGACGAGGACTCCCTTGCCGCTCTGGCGGGCCTCCTCTATCGTCGGGGAGAGAAAGGGCAGCGTTAAAAGAGGCAGAACGCGCTAAGGTCCCCCCAAACTTGGCCACTCCTAAGACTTGTGGACTTCAACTCCCAGAATTCCCCAGCCAGCATTGTTTGTTTGTTTTTTTAACTCTGATGACTTCGTCTCAGTTGCAGTTGGTACGTGGCCACTAGGAGGCAGTATGTGACTGGTTTTGTCCTATATCTGTGATGACGAACCTATGGCATGTGTGCCTTTCTGCAGGCATGCGAGCCATCGTCCAGCTCAGCTCCTCCGCGATTGCACTCGTGCCTCCCACCAGGATCTGGGAGGGCGGGGTGCATGCGCAGGGGGGTGGGAGTCATGCGTGCAATTGCAGGGGGCGGGGGTAGTGCAGCGCGGGTCACGCGTGCAGGAGCAGGGGATGGGGGTTGTGCAGGGGTGTGTGCCCCCCCCCGCCTGTTTTTGAGCCCAGGAGGCTGCAGGGCGGCCTATTAGGCCAGAATTGGGCAACTGTGGCCCTTTTACAACCTGTGGACTTCAACTCCCAGAATTCCTGAGACAGCCAAGCTGTCTCAGGAATTCTGGGAGTTGAAGTCCACAGGTCATAAAGGGGCCATATTTGCTGGACCCGTGTACTAGGCCCAAAACAGGTGGGGGGGGTCGTGCGTGCATGCGTGGGGGAGCGGGGGGGAGTCGCGTGCTCATGAAGGGGGGCGGAGGAGCAGGGGGGTTGTGTGCACATGCACAGGGGCTCCTGCATTGCATTATGGGTGCCAGCACAGACGCATGCATGCGCTTTCACACACAAGAAGAAAAAGGTTAGCCATCCCTGTTGTATATAATCCCACACTGCCCCTCGGTGGTCATTCTAAGTAAGGACACGCATAACAAAGAGCCAGAAACTGCATCGGCTGGCTGGGGAATTCTGGGAATTGAAGTCCACAAGCCTTAAAGTGGCCAAGTTTGGAGACCCCCCTACTCTAAGCTAAAACAAAAGCTTCCCTTGTCCAGTTGTGTCCAGCTCTAGGGTGGTGCTAGTCTCGTTTTCCTAGCTGAGGAAGGAAGACATTTCCATGCTCCTGCGGCTGCAAATTTATGACTGCATAAATTTTGGGTTCAGTTGTGGTCGTAAATTGAGGACTACCTGTATACACTGAGCTGCACGGAACTGCATCACTTAACAAGGGAACTTCCAAGTCCCTGTTGCCGTAAATCAAGGACTATCTGCATGACTCGAACTACAGGAAGACACTGACTTACAACCACAATTGAGCTCAAAACGTCTGTTGCTAAATGAGACATATGTTAATTGAATTTTGCATGCTTTAACGACCTTCACACGTTTGTTAAGCGAATCACTGCAATTGTTTTAACATTAGTAACACGGTTGTTAAGCGAATCGGGCTTCCCCATTGAGTTTGCTTGTCAGACAGTAACAAAAGGGGGAATCACACAATCCCGGGGCACTGCAATGCATCATAAATGCGATCAGTTGTCAAGTGGCTGATTTTTTGATCACGTGACCACGGGACGCTGCAACGGTCGTAAGTGTGAAAACGGTCGTAAGACTTTTTCTTCAGTGCCGTTGCAACTTCGAACCGTCACTAAACGAACTGTATTTCGAGGGCTAACTGAACTCCCTCCAATTTTTTCCCCCAAATTTGAGTTCCCCTGCCCCGCTGAGGCCTGAAATGTTTCCTGGAAAGAATTGGGGGTGGGGTGGGGTGGGGCAGGCATGAGGATTTCCTGCCAGCCTTTCCCACTTATGCCCCCCCCCCCATCTTGGGTCAAGATTCAGCTCGTACCGATGAACTCAAACGCCTCCTCGAAATATTGCCGCAGGTCCTGTCGGTTATTGTCGGTGGCGGGTAAGCGCTTGTAACGGAGGCGCCCGCTGTCGGCGTGGTAGAGAGGCAGGTGGGTCGTGACATTGAGAACGTGGCCGACGTTGAGGTGGAGCAAAATCTCCAAGTTCTGGGCATCCCTCTCGTTGCCCAAGTAGAGGAAGGGGAGGATGGGGCTCAGCTCGGCGTTCTCCAAGTCGGGGGTCAGCGGGGAGCCCACCTCGTCCGAGATCTCCGGGGCATCCGATCCGATCGGATTGCCTGCGACCAAAACACAAAACGTGAGGATGGCATTCCTGCCCGTGGGGCACGAGGGAGACGTGGTATTCGAATGAGAATGCCCCTTTTAAGACTTGTGGACTTCAACTCCCAGAATTCCCCCACCAGCTGAGCTAATTTCTGGCTCTTCTGTTTTTACTTAGACTGACCACTAGAAGGCAGTGTGGGATTATATAGGACAAAACCGGTCACATACTGCCTCCTGGTGGACGCTTACCAACCGCAACCGAGACCCGCAATTCTGTGAAGAAGCAACACAGTCATGAAGTTAAAAAAAAATGCTGGCTGGGGAATTCTGGGAGTTGAAGTCCACAAGTCAGGTCAAGTTTGGAGACCCCCCCCCCGGATGAAATGCTCCCCTAGATTAGAAACAGAGGGTGGGGGTGGCGGATAAAAGGATAAAATATGTTTTGCCCATTATTTCAGGCTAGAAGCAGGACAAGCTTCCTCCTGTTTCAATCCTAGCTTCCTAGTACGGACTGGATACCAAGGCATGCTGGGAGTTGTAGTTTAGGGGGAAAAGACAGATGCAAAACTTGTCTCCCTGGCCTGGCCCTTCTTCTTAGCCCCTCCCCTCATTCAGCTGGCTAGGAAATCTCAAATCATCCCAGATTTTAATTTTTTTTCCATCCATAATAGAACTTGTGGAAAACAAGGGCTTGGAATATTTTGCTGAAACTACAACTCCCAACATGCACGCGGCTATCACAGCAAAATCCTGGTTTAACAACAATTCTGGAAACAATGGCTTTGTTTTCCCCCTGCTTTAAAGGGGTTTTTTTAGGGAACGCCTTTTCCGTTGGCAAAAGGGGCTTAGGAGTGTTGTGGTCCACCGGCGGCCTGCAGAGCTAGCAGCAGAATCGGACAGTGAGGAGGCTGGGGAGGAACATGGGCCAGTCCTGGAGTCTGGGGAAGGCTCAGATGAGGGCTCTGCATCAGAGGCAGAGAGAGGGCCAGGGCCATCTGGGAGTGATGTGCTGCCTCCGGAGCCTCCAAAGTCGGACATCAGCGAGGCAGAGGAATGGGGAGCCTGTACCCAGTGCGCGCATGCGCAGAGCTGCCAGAGGCAAGAATAGTTAAGACAAAAAGGGCGACTCGGGAGTAAGGCTTGGAGATGATTGGCCCCTCCCATAAGACATAAAGGCATGTGAGCCTTTGCAGAAAGCAACTTTGTTCGTTCTGGTCAGTTTATATTCTGAAGCTCTGTTTGATTCTGGACTCCGTACGGCTTTGCCAATTAGGTCTTTGGCAGCGTGTCAAGGGAGATAAAGGTGGGTGATGATCAGCCTTATCCTGAAGGACTCTTTACAACTATTTGGGACTCATCTGTGAATGAACAGAATTCATAGCTGTTGCAATAAAAGAGGTTTTTGGGACTATTCCTGTGTTTTACTGATTCAGGAAGCCTAGGTCAGAACAAGGAGGAGCTTGCTCCCACACAATTGGGGATAGCTGCATTTTAAGGTAGACTGCTCCTGAACTGAGAGGCTCTATTTAGCATTCTTGTCTGCTGGCCCTGGCGTTTTCTTCCCTCCCCTCCCGTCTTCCGAGCTAACGGCCACCATCAAATCCTATCTTGGACCCCTTTGCTTAAACGCCGTCTAGGTTTCTCCTCCTTACCTCTCTTCCCAAGTCCTTGCTCGTCTCTGTGCACCAAATCCAGGACCAGGTGCAGGCTCTGCATGGGCAGGGTTTTGGGCGGCTTGGGGGGGCTAGCCGGTGGGGATTCCAGGACCCCTCCGCAGCCAGACCCTTCCTTGGACCACAGGCACTGCCGCGAGGAATCCCGGCCGTCACAGGCGCCCCTTGAAGAGAGGAAATCCAACACGGCCAATTTCCCTTGCTGGAACCGCCGTCTTCCCGGTGCGTCGGCGACTCCAAAGCGCATGGCGCCCTGCAGCTGAGTCTTGGTGAACTCCACCAGGTTGCGGCAGTCCAGGATCAAGGGGGAGGATTGCGGCTGGTTCCACGGCGGCTGCGACGGCGGCAGGGGCGACTTGTGCATCTTCTTGGCCAGCTCGTCAGGCCAGATGTTGCGGACGGTGTAATCGTCGTCTTCCTCATCGTCCTCTTCTTCATCCCCGCCGTAGCAGCTGGGCGCTGGTGAGGACCCCACCCGGGGGTCGTAAGCCACGATGGGATCGCTGCTGCAGAAGCTGCAGGAGGAGCTGGCCGACTTGACCGAGAGGTTGCACGCCAGGCAGGCCAGGGAACGCAGGGCCACGGGGGCGCAGGAAAAGCACCCCAGTTTTTTCACGGACTGCGGGCTGCAGCCGGGGCAGCCCAACGAGGGCAAGCTGGATCGGCTGGAGAAGCAGCCCAAAGAGCGCAGGCTGGACTTGGCCCCGGCCTCTTCGCAGCGCATCAGCCGCCAGCAGCCCCAACAGCCGCATTTTAAGGGGTGCATGGTGGTGGCGGGGCTGGAGAGCGTCGAGCTGAGGGACGCGTCCCCCGAAGGGTTGGCGTTCTCCTTCAGAACCCACTTCTTGAGCTTGGCCTGGGGCAGGAGCGCCTTCAGCTGCGGGCTCAGCACCCCTTTCTTCTCCTCGCTCTGTTTAGGGTCCGTCGGCCAGGCCAAGCCACGCTCGGACCCTCGTCCCTGAGGCTTGAGGTCGAGGGTGTGCGAATGGCCAGGGAGAAGGACGCTGCTTCGGCGGATGGCTTCGCAGGGGTCCTGGCTGCCCGCTCGGCCGGGGGCGGCCGGGGACAGCGGCTTCTCCCCGCCACTGCCGTGGGTGACGAAGCTGTGGGTGAGGCGCAGGGCTAAAGTCTTGGGCCTCTGCAGCACCCCGATCCGCTCTTCGAGGGGCGAGGGTGGCATTGGGAAAGCTGAGCTGCAGGGAAGGGAAGAGGCAGAAGGGAGATTATTACGATGCTGTCCACTCTCACCCCAAATTCCTAGCATGCCATAGCAGTAGCAACAGCACTTATATACCGCTTCACAGTGCTGTACAGCCCTCTCTAAGCGCTTTATAGAGTCAGCCTCTTGCCCCCCAACAATCTGGGTCCTCGTTTTACTGACCTCGGAAGGACGGAGGGCTGAGTCAACCTTGAGCCAGTCAGGATCGAACTGCTGGCAATGGGCAAAGTTAGCCTGCAATACTGCATTCTAACCACTGGGAAAGGAAGGGAAAGGGAAGGGAAGGGAAGGAAGGAAGGAAGGAAGGAAGGAAGGAAGGAAGGAAGGAAGGAAGGAAGGAAGGAAGGAAGGAAGGAAGGAAGGAAGGAAGGAAGGAAGGAAGGGCAATAGCACTTACTGTATATACCGCTTCACAGTGCTTTGCAGCCCACTCTAAGCAGTTTACAGAGTCAGCACCCTTGCCCCCAAAAATCTGGGTCCTCATTTTACCCACCTCGGAAGGACGGAAGGCTGAGTCAACCTTGAGCCTGGTGAGATTCGAATTGCCAAATTGCAGGCAGCCGGCAGTCGGCAGAAGTAGCCTGCAGTACTGCACTCTAACCACTGCGCCACCGCGACTCTAAGGCGGAAGGGTGTCTCCCAAGTAAGACTTGTGGACTTCAACTCCCAGAATTCCCTAACCAGCAAATTTTGCAAATTTACCCAGCTAAATGGATGGCCATCCAGGAAGAGGCCACAGCGCACAATTCAGCCAATCAGCCACCTGGATAGGATTCAAAGAGTGATTTGCAAAGCTGTCCTTTGAAAGCTGGCTGGGGGGGATTCTGGGAGTTGAAGTTCATCACTCTTAAAGCATGACGGCTGGGGGGATTCTGGGGAATTCTGGAAGGAAGGGAGGAGGAAGAGGGGAGGAAGGAAAAGTGGGAGGAGGGAGAAAGGAAAGGAGAAAGGAAGGAAGGAAAATGGAGGGAGGGATGAAGGAAGAGCCTTGGTAGTACAGTGGTCTAAGGCACCCTGTTATTAAGCTGGTTATTAAGACCAGATGCCTGCAATTACTGCAGGTTCGAATCTCGCCAAGGCTCAAGGTTGACTCAGCCTTCCATCCTTTCTAAGGTAGGTAAATTGAGGACCCAGTTTGTGGGGGCAATAAGCTGACTTTGTATAAATATACAAAAGGATGAAGGCTATTGCTTAGCGCATTGTAAGCCGCCCTGAGTCTCCGGAGAAGGGCGGCATATAAATCAAATTAAAAAAAAAAAGGAAAGGAAAGGAGTGGGAAGGAAAGGAGGGAGGGAAGAAGGAAGGAAGGAAGGAAGAAGGAAAAGAGTGGGAAGGAAGGAAGAAAAAGGGGAGGGAAGAAGGAAGGAAAGGAGGAAGGGGGAGGGAGGAAGGAAGGAAGGAAAAGTGGGAAGGGAGGGAGGGAGGGAGGGAGGACGGAAGAGTGGGAAGGAAAGGAGGAAGGGAGGGAGGAAAAGGGGAGGAAGGAAAGAAGGAAGGGAGGAAGGAAGGAAAAGAGTGGGAGGGACGGAAGGAAGGAAAAGAGGAATGGAGAAAGGAAGGAAAAGATTGGGAGGGGGAGGAAGGAAGGAAGGGAAAGAATGGGAAGGAAGGAAGGAAAAGAGAGGGAGGGAGGGAAGGAAGGAAAGAAGTTTATCCACATCCTTAATATCCCTAGGTCAATCTCTCCTGTTATTATTTCACACCCTGAAGCCTGTCTGAAGCCCTTTTATTTACTCGATGCCTCCCGCACGGCTGCCGCCCTCCATGCCCTCACCCCAAAGCCACGCCAGTCGTAATCCAATAACATTTTGATGCATTTAGGCTAACTTCTTTTTATGGACCAGACCAGCTTTTTTGGCAAGGGGGTCCTTGTCAGGCTTCCAGCTGCCTTAAGCCGGATCGTATTCTGTCTCACAGGTGCGTCCTAACCATGCAGCAACATCCCTGCAACTCAGGAAGAGGAGGAGCACAATGTTTACAATACAGCTCAGAGGAGCCTTATGCCCATTTCAGGGACCTGGAGACTGAGGCCTGGATAGAGAAGAGGGTTTTTGTTTTTTTTAACAACTGCTGGGACCGAGTTGAATTTTGCATTATTATTTTTTTTTTTTTGCAAAATCCCTTGGATGTTCCTAGCACAAATTTCCAAGAAAATCCTGAAATCTTCCCCCTTTGCAGAATTCAAATCAATCTTTTTCTTATAATAATAATAATAATAATAACAACAACAACAACAACAACAACAACAACAACAACAACAACTTTCTCAGGATTTGAACACGTTTTTGTCACCCTCCCTTTCCGGAGGAGACGATGCTCCAGTGCTTGGCTCTCGCCCCACAAAACGCAGGCAACGCACCCTAAATTCGGATTGCAATCCAAGTTTTTTTGGGGGGGGGGCAGGGATCTGCAGCCAGTCCTTGAGTTACGGCCACAATGGAGCCCCGAATTCCTGTCGTTAAGTGAAACATTTGCTAAGTGAGGGGGATTTTTTTGCCCCCTTTTCCGAATTTTCCCGCCACGCTCATTAAGTAAAAACCCTGCAGTTGTTACTTTTGTCACACGGTTGTTAAGCGAATCCAGCTTCCCTGTTGACTTGATGTGTCAGAAGGTCGCAAATGCGGATCATGTGACACGACACCCCCCCAGGGGCACCGAGTCAGTTTGCCAAGCATTTTAATTTTGATCAGGTGGACCAGTGGGGATGCTGCCACGGTCGTAAGTGTGAAAAACGGTCGTAAATCCCTTCGAATGGTCACTAAACAAACTCTTTCCAAACTGAGAATTCCCTGTAATATTTTGCTGATAACTTCTCCTTGACTTCATCACAATTCATCCATTTAAACCACCAACCCTCCCTGGAAGCGTGGCACACTCAAATCTACCATGAAATTCCTTGGCACGCTGCTTTCCATGCCGACCTCACCGATGGGCACGAATGACCGATGCCCACCACGTCTACCCACACAACCAGCACGAGGTAGCTCTTCTTGCCTATGAATAGATCCACACAGGTGTGCAAATTCTCTTGTGGGGGGTGGAATCCCCACCGGGACGTGTCACAGGTGGATTTTGCTTCTGTAATAAGCCACGCTCAAGTCCATTGAATGGGTCTCATCCCATTTCCCCCAATGCAGCCCTGAATCTCTGCGGCCTACCTCGCAGGGGTGTGTGCAGAGGGAGGAATGTGAAAAAAACAACTATTGCTTCAGGATCTGTTCACGGCTCCTACCCTTGTGAATCTATGCACAACAAGGCAGCTTCTTTGCACGCACATGTTTTGGCACACTTCAGCGCAGACTTGTCGGATAACACATTTTTAAAGAAATGCTTTGCACACACACACACACAAAACACACACACACACACACAGAGACACATATCTGCGGGCACTTTCCCTCTCCAGAGCTTACCTTTTTGACCCGTCCACAGCCTGCTAGGTCCCCTTAAGGTACTTTCTCTTCCTTTCCGCGAGAGAAAGTTGGGACGATGCCTCTAAAAATACCAACCTGAGCTCAGAGCCTGGCATGACGATGAGGACATTGGACTTCTTGGGTTTCACCCCAGGGATGAGCTCACCGTTTGGCCCCGGTACGCGCTGGGCAACTTTCTTGAGGGAAGCAGGGTGGGCGAGGAGGAGGAGGAGGAAGAGATGGGCCGTGAGAGACCAGCGAGGGTGGAGAAAGAGCTAAAGGTTTCCCCGGATTTTAAAAAAAATGGGAGGGGAATCTGGCTGTTTGCAGGCCAGGGTTTTACCCATCTTGGCTTTTCAGAGGGGTGGACTTCAATTCCCAGAATCCCCCAGCCAGCATGCTTTAAGATGAGTGGACTTCAACTCCCAGAATTCCCCAGCCAGCATGCTTTAAGATGGATGGACTTCAACTCATAAGAGCCTTGATGGCGCAGCAGACTAAAGTACTGTTAAATAGCACCAGCTGCCTTCAATTACTGCAAGTTCAAATCTCACCAGGCTCAAGGGTGACTCAGCCTTCCATCCTTTCGAGGAAGGTAAAATGAGGACCCGGATTGTGGGGGGCAATAAGCTGACTTTGTATAAAAAAGAACACCGCTTTGGGGGGGGGCGAAAGCCCTACTAAGCAGGTATATACAAAAGTATGAAGGCTATTGCTTAATGCAGTGTTTCCCAAACTTGACCCTTTGAAGATGTATGGACTTCAACTCCCAGAATTCCTCAACCAGGCATACTATTCCTCAACCAGGCATACTGGCTGGGGAATTCTGGGAGTTGAAGTCCATGCATCTTAAAATAGCCAAGTTTGGGAAACACTGGCTTAATGCATTGTAAGCTGCCCTAAGTCTCCGGAGAAGGGCGGCATATAAATCGAACCAATAAATAAATAATAAACTCCCATAATCCCCTAGCCAGCATGCTTTAAGAGGGGTGGACTTCAACTCCCAGAATTCCCCAGCCAGCATCCTTTAAGATAGGTGTTGCTGGGAGTTGAAGTCCTCCCAACTTAAGTATTTCCTCAAGTTCGAGGGAAAACCGTCTAAAAGATCTCCATCTGCCAAGGATGAAATATTGGTGGGAATTTCTCAACTCTGACCTGGTGGGTGATAGATAAGAACCTTGGCCAGTTCCTAGTCCTCTGGGTTTGCCAACGATCCAGCCAAGGCCGCTTCGTGGCGTGTGCCATGGAGACAAGCCCTGGCGTTCGCCAATCAGAGCGCAGTCTCTGGAGTGTTGGCTTGTTAAAAAACAGCAGGCTCATTTCTGCTGTTGTGCCCAGAGGAAGAACTCGAAACAGCCAGTAAAACATCTTCCACCTAACAAGGACTCCCTAAGGTAAATTAAGAGGTAAGGACGTCGCTATCTTAATAAACCAGGTTGCCTCCCAACAAACCACAATGGTGCAAAAAATGAGGCCCCTCCTGCAATGACATCACGCATGATTGCCCGCCAAGATGTGCAAATTCGATTCGGGGAAATTGTGTGCCGTGAGGTCATTGGGCACAGGTGGTTCCAAATCGCCATGCAAAGGTAAAGATATTAAAGCATGCTGGCTGGGGGATTCTGGGAGTTGAAGCCCACCCGTCTTAAAGGCTGCTGGATGGGGAATTCTGGGAGTTGAAGTCCACCCGTCTTAAAGCATGCTGGCTGGGGAATTCTGGGAGTTGAAGTCCATCCGTCTTAAAGGCTGCTGGCTGGGGATTCTGGGAGTTGAAGTCCACCCCTCTTAAAGCATGCTGGCTAGGGGATTCTGGGAGATGAAGCCCACCCATCTTAAAGCATGCTGGCTGGGGAATTCTGGGAGTTGAAGTCCACCCATCCTAAAGCCTGCCAAGGTTGGAAAATACTGCTCTAGATTGAGCACCCTAGAGCCTAACGCAGGTGGGATGCAAAGACACGCATCTAATCGCGAGAAAGCCTCAACCCAGAAATTGTTTCAATAAACCAGCTTAGCAGAAAAGAAAAGAGTTCCTGCTTTATATAAGCATGGCCTCAAGTTCAACTCCCAGAATCCCTTAGGCAGCATTTTGAAAATCTCCAATCTAAATCTCCCCCGGGGGAGATTTTGTCGCAAGTCAGCATCAACAATGCGATACCCATTACCCAGGTGGAAAAACTGAGGCTGGGAGAAGAATCCCCGCTTGCCAATGGATGGCACAACCAAGTCACTTTTTTTAAAAAAAAAAACCTCTTCTCAATTCAACAGCTTTGACCCAAATTTGAGATTTCTTTCTTGCAAAAGCGACATATAAATCTAAAAAAAACAAACCAACCATAAATTGCCTACCATCCTGGCATTATTCGCTCTACAGGTCTGTGTCCCCTTCTAAAAACAACCCTTCCCTACAGCTTCAATAACCGGAGCCAAACGCATCTCTCTTTTTCTCTCTTTTTTTGCATCGTCTAATCTACAAATATTGTGCAACCATCGAATTGTTAACACAAAACACAACAAAAAACCCAGAGAATCGGATCTCCCTTTCATGGCGATGCTGATATCCAAACTTAACTTCGTGTCTATTTTGCCTTTGCACCCAAAAAAACCCCCTGCGCTTTTGAAGGAAGGAGCGGGGGTGATTTTAAACAGACATCTCACCCCCCCCCACACACACGCACACACATACACACACCTAATTAAAACCCCTGCGCCGAATTAAAAATTTAATTAAAAAATCATAACGTTGGAGCTGAGCCACCCCGGGGGTCCCTTTGTTTTACCCAACAACCTCTTTCCTTGATGCCAACCCCCTTGTGTGTGGATTGGCACACAGGCAGCAGACCGACGTGCAACACACATACACCCAAGCAAACACACAACAACAACAACAGCAGCCTACCTTTGCAACCCACCCCCTGGGTGGCATCACTGGCTTAAAAATAACTCCGGGTGTCATTATATATATAAATATATATATATTTAAAAAAGAAAAAAACTCCGGGGCCAATGCAAAACAGAGCCCTTCCCTCCCTCGCCCCCTCCCCAAATCCGAGCATCCTCAAGGAACCTTTCCACCCACCCACCTACCCTCCCCATCCTCCGTCTCCCACGCACCCGGGAAAACGACCTGTCACAACACCCGAGGCAGCCACCACAATTCACCCACTCGCGGAGGAAGGGCAAGCTTTTCCCAATCCTGCAAAAAACCATCACCCCCCCTCCTCACCTTTCTCGGGTACCTTGATGGCTGTGGGGGGGGGGGTGCAGCCCTGGAAGACTCCCTTCTGCACCCCCAAAACAGGGGAAAGGGACCCCCTCCCTTTGATTCCCTTCCCTCCCACCACAAATCTCCCCCCCCCATGCAAAAAAACAGCACCCAGCCAGGGATATAGGGGCGTTGGTGGGGGGCACTTGCGTGGGGATAGGGGCGTTGGGGAGGGGGCACTTCCCACTGTTAGACCCCTCACTGTTAGACCCCCACCCCCGGGTTCCCCACAACCCGGTCCAGTTTCTCCCCCTGCACGCAAACAACACAAATTGTGTAAGCGCAATTGAGTGTAAGCGCAATCCCTCTTCTCAAAATCCCCTCTCCCCACTTTGCAAAAGAGGCAATCAAGCATCTTGGGGTCCCCTCTCTCTCTCTCATGCAGCCGCCCCCCCTCCCTCTTCTCCCCATCCCAGGTGTTTTGGGGTGTTGTTTTTTTTTTTGCACTCACCTGCATCACATCCTCCAGCCGAAAATCGGGAAGCAAAGCCGAGAGGATCCCCCTCCCCCGGATCCCCAAAAGGATCGCTTCCCCTTCTTTTGCAAGGCTTTGCAACGCGGGGATCCCCCTTTTCCAACCTCCGCCCCGCGTTCTTGTTGTGTTGTGTTGTGTTGTGTTGTTGCAGCCCCCCCCCTCCCCTCCCTTTCTCCCTGCTCGGGGCGGGCGCGAAGCTCCGGCTGGGGAAAGCAGGGCGGGCGGGGAGAGGAGGCGGGGGGGGGGGAAGAGCCGGGGAAAGGCTGCTGGCAGGGTGACCTCATCGCCCGCCAATCAGAAGGCGGCCCGGCTCTCCCCGGGGAAGGGTGACGTCACGGGGGCGGCACGTGACCCGGCAGGTGGTTCCATTCATGGGGACGCGGGCGGCGCGCGGGGAGACCCCCCTTGGCGAACGCGGTGTCCCCCCCCCCCCCCCCCCCTCTCATTATTATAGCCTTCTTTTTTTTCCAATTAATAATTATTAGATTTTTTAAATCCTATTTTATTATTATTATTATTATTATTATTATTATTATTATTATTCATTACACATGAAACTCACTCAACTGATATTATTATTTTTATTCATTAAACATGAAACTCAGTCAACTGATATTATTATTTATTATTATTATTACTATTATCTTTATTCATTACATATGAAACTCAGTCAACTGATATTATCTTTATTCATTAAACATGAAACTCAGTCAACTATTATTATCTCTTATTCATTAAATATGAAACTCAGTCAACTGATATTAT